GACTCCTCAGCTAGATGCACCTGCTAGTGATAAGGTTCTCACTGAGATACAAACTTAGTCAGCCCCATCTGGTTCAAACAACAAGGTATTATTCACTCGGCTACTAGAAGTGCTTATTTTTCAAGCAACATTCACTTGCTAACAACAACAACAATTTCAGTTTCTCTCACTTACAACAGTTAAGCTTTGACTGGCTTAAATTTATTTAAAGGTGCGTCGGTGGCATAGTGGTTATGACACTCGCCGACCATACACATGGTCCGGGTTTCGATCCCCGGCCGGCGCACTCCTTTACCTCGCTAAGCCAGAAATAATGCTGGTGAAGAGGAAAGGTTCGGCATGAGGCTAGCAACCCCATCCTGTAAAATAAACACTGCTACAGAAACTTCAGGCCACTAGCTTGAAGCCCAATGTTCCACTGGGGAACGTGAAGGAAATAAAAAAAAATTATTTAAAAATGACAAAATAGAATGACATCAGCAATGAAGTTACAAAAAAAGACGACAATGAACACCAGAGAAAATAAATTTAGAAATGTTTGTTTTTATGTGAGGACAACCCTTCATTACAAGAAAAATGAATGAATAAAAATTCAGGAAAACAATTATTTGAAATGTTAATTTTTACAAGTAGTACATAAATTATACTGTGATAAATTAAAACAAAATGATGACGATTCACAAGTTATCGAGGAAAATTTTGATTGATTGTTTAATTAGTGGGACCTGTTTCATGAAATCTGATTACAGAATCCGTAATGGCTACTTTCGAGTTCTCCATTGTTTCTGATACCCCTTAATTCTCTGTAGTCACCTAAAGTGATAGAGAAGGAAATGGCTTAATTAATTCGAAATTATTATTATTATTATCAATTAGACAAGTGATATAATGCTGAAAATAATAAATAAGGTCAGTTAAAAGTGATTTATTGTTGAAATTTCCTTGGATTTCGAGTGGAACAAATGAATACAACAGCACATCTCCATTTCACACAGTCCTCTTCAATCTTATTAAGCTGACTGAACGATTGCCCATAAGATCTCATTTCCTAGTCACAATTCAAACCCCAGTGGGTGCTTACTGCCGATGAATCCCAAAACTGGAATGAAACAGCTGTCAAGTACTCCAGTGCTGGTTTTCAGTGGTTCTTTAACTGATATCAATCCGTTGTCATACTCGTAAAAACAAATCTAATCCTTACAAACCAACTCTTGAAAATTAAATATAACTGCCCAAAGAACTTCATTACGAAAATCAACATTGACATCAAATATGGTTGAAAACGTATTCCGAAGACATGGACCTCGACGGTTATCCTTCCGTGTAGATCAGAAGCATCAGACAATATCAGAAGACTACTCAATAAGCACAACGTTAGAATTTTCTCCAAAATATCTGTCACACTACAAAGCAAAGCTGTCCATTTAAAAGACCGAATATCAAAGCATTCTCAATCAAATCGTGTCCGCAGATTATAATGCTTGGAATGTGATGCGATATACATCGAAAAAACATCGCGAGAAATCAAGATAAAAAGAAATGAACACCTCAAAGCCACTATTTTACCACCGAGAAATCCAGTTGAACTAGAAAAGCTTGAAAAATCATCAGCCGTCGGTGGTCTACACACCATAGAATCAGGTCACAAAATTGATTTTGACAATATTGAAATCATCCGGAAAAACCATTTCAGAAATCACAAACAACGTCTGATATCGGAAGCACTCCACATAAAATGGAACCTAGACTATCTGAATGAGAATGATGAACTAAAACAATATTTGACCTGAGTACAGAGACACCTCCCCCATGAAATGACAAAATCAACACTAATGTGATGAGCAATTACATTATGTAAATACATGCTACTTTTATGAGTTTGTCCGCTTATCATTACCAATTGGCCAACCTGACAACGCAAAAATGACCCTTTGCTGAGGAACGATGATTAAGTTGTTATATATAAGCTGACATTTTGTAAATTCTGGTATAATATTACTACTCTGATAAAGCTATTAGCAGCATTGAATAGCGAAACGTCAGTAAAAGCAACAATATCTTTTCGCTTTTCATTCATTGGGAAATGCAAAAAATGTTATAGTGATGAAGTTGACATAGGTTTTAAAGGGAATTAATACTCCTGAATCCAGTATTGCTGAAGGACTCAATAAAATATCTTGACATTTTATACTCAATCATTTAATAATGATTTCTTTTCATTCAGTGTTCTTAAAGAAAACTTATCATTTTGAACACAAATTCAACAACTAGCTAGCTCACATGGTCCCACTATCATTGACGGCATAGAGGTTGAAACTACATCTAATGTCAAGTACCTTGGACTGAGTATTTCCTCCGATCTTTCCTGGTCCTCTCACATCTTGCTAGTGACTAGAAAGATGTTTCGCTTAACGTTCTACGTTAGGAAGTTAAGGCAGTCTGGTATAAAGCAGTCTTTGCTTTCTCAGTTTGTCAATTCTTGTATTCCAACCATTCCTCTTTACTGCTCCCCATTAATCTTCCCTGGACTACTTAAGAAAGATTTTGCTTCGCTGCATAGGGCACTAAAAGCTGTTAGTAGGGGAAGTGGGATTTCGTTAAACCAACTGGTTAACACAATTGTGGATAGACATATAATGTCATGTAAGAAACTAGCGAATTCTATATTGTCAGACCTCGAACACCCTCTCCATACGCAGCTCTCTCCTTGCATTTCATCTGGTAGAACTAGAAGCAACTATAGGAGGCTATATGCCAGGACTACCAAGTATAAAAACTCCACAATACCTTATGTGGCACAGCTGTTATGTGATGAGAAATCCGTTAGGTATGACACGATCAACTTACTGCGGCACTCTAACTAATAGTTCCCATTAGCTTTTGTTCTCTTTTCTTTGTTACTATTATATTGTTGCTCACATATTCTATTACAGACTAATTTTATATTTCATATCCTGTGGTGGATTGTTTAAATATGTGAATGCAATGCTGTTCTTTTTTATTTCTTTTATTTCTCTTTTTTCTTTTTGTTGTTGTTGCTTTATATTTTTAAATCCTTATAAAATTTATGAGGTAATTAGATGCAATATTGTAATGAACGCTGAAAATTCCATACCTGTACCACAAATACTGTTTGGAATAAAGCCATTATTATTATTAAATTCAGTAGTGTTTCGACGAGTGCGTCGGTGGTATAGCGGTTAGGACGCTCGTCGATCATGCACTTGGTCCAGGGTTCGATCCCCGGCCGACGCACTCCCTTACCTCGCTAAGCCAGAAATAATGCTGGTGAAGAGGAAAGGTTGGACATGAGGTTAGCAACCCTATCCTGTAAAATAAACACTGCTACAGAAACTTCAAGCCACTAGCTTGAAGCCCTATGTTCCACTGAGGAAAGTGAAGGAAAAAAACAATGTTTCGACGAAATATATGCGTATGCATACGTTCTCTGCATGCTAACTGTCTACATTTAGGTATCAAAGTAGGCCTATTTCTGTGTCTCATGTTCGTCTTTGGAGTTTAGAACCATCAACAGACATAAATGAGTTTTGCTATGAGGTGGAATATCACCATAAATCAGTGTAATAGATTTATGCAGTGACTGAAGATTGATCACGAACTAACTTGATTTATAGAATTGTTGAAAACTAGGGTGTACTGGACATATGTTTTCTCCTTGTCTGGAATTGTTCAGAAAGAAGCACCTGTAGCCTTACTATGGTTTGGACCCAGGATCTCCAGGTTACATGTCAAGCTCACCGACCATTTATTTTTTTATTTCTTTACGTTCCTAGTGGAACATAAGGCCTCAAGCTGGAGGCTTGAAGTTTCGTTAGCAGTGGAGTTTATTTTTACGGGATAAGGTTGCTAGTCTCATGCCAAACCTTCCATTTTTATGAGTCTTATTACTAGCTTAGCGAGGTAAGGGAGTGCGTCGGCCGGGGATCAAACCGCGAACCACATGCGTAGTCGGTGAGCATTCTACCATTGTGCGATCGACGCACTAGTTATTAGCTTGATCAAAGTATTATTCGGCCAGAATTTACAAAATATCAGTTGATATATAACAAATCAATCATCGTTCATCAGTATGAGGTAAATTTTACGTTGTCGTCAAGTTGGCCGATTGTTAAAAATGACAAAACCATGTGTAGATTGTTGCATTTCATGAGCAATTAAAATCATAAAAACAGCCTTGTGTTTTTTACATAATGAAATTGCATATCACATTCATATTGATTTTTTCGCTTCATCTCACCTTCATAACGATGAATATCATATACACAATGCCCCAAATATTTTCAAACCGAGAAAATTAACTTGCTTTGGACCTATATAACCTAAACTGAATCCCTATGACTGTCAGGCTGTTAAGTTTAGATTTAGACCTCCAGGGACTCATTCACTCCCATGATTTTTGTAATTTTGATGGCACTATGATAAGAAATAAACAAAATACTACCTGTCTTGGTATTAGTTTCTCTTCAAATTTTAACTGTTCATCTCATATCCTGTTGATTTCTAAGAAAATCTTTCGTCTGGCTTATTATATGGGATAAATCAACCTGTTCTTTGACAATATACTTATTCATGTATCCCTCCTATTTTTCTTTTATCGTTCCCCCCTTATCCTTCCTTGAACTTCTCAAAAGGATTTTCACATAACGTAGAACATTGATGGCTGTAAGTTGATATACGGGTATTACTCTGACCATTGTCGATAGGAATTTTAATTCTTGCAACTTGCTAAAGGAATTTTGTCGCACACTGAATGTTCCGTTTATTCGCAACTTTCTCCGTATATCCCATTTAGTTACTGGAATGGAATCCACTGACCCCATGAATTCCAGCTTCTTCCAATTCGCGACAGTTATATAGATGACATCTCGGTGAAATAGCTATACTTGATCATTGTATAAACACACTTTCTATTATGAAACTGATAATTTAGAAAGTAAGTAAATGTTATTATCAGAACTCGTTAAAAAATTTTCAAAAAATCAATTATCAACAAAACTTACTTTACATACAGACTCGTAATTAGGACATTTAATACGTCCCATTAATTTAAGTTTTTCACGTTTTGCTGTAAAATTAATTATACCACCTTTAATTGGGCATGCCATACTTTGATTGCCAATAATTATTTCAAGTTTTTCAGAGCAAGAATACTAAAAGAGATAATAAGAATAAGTATTAAAGTGTGTAGTGCATAAATTTCTCAAAGGAATTACGATAGATAATACTGCCGTGTCGAGATAATATTTTGATGAGAAGCATAATATGAGATTCGCAGACTCTGTAAAATAACTTTGATGGTTTCATCATTAGCCAACATCATTTGAGCGGCACTTGAATAGCCGTTTCGTCCTAGTTTGAGACCCTCCAGTAGACAGCACTCATAGCCAGCCCACTAAGGGGCTCTCGAGGCCAACCCGTTTACTATTCAGCAACTGGGTGGCAATGCATTGATCACTAAATTTTGTCAGCATTACCACAATCTCCTGGTGCGGTTGTGGGCACATAGTTTTGAAGAATGCCAAACTAGGACAAAATACTATGCAGTGCTCATGGTATTCCAATAATCCCTTGAATGATGTTAGTTAGGTGCGTTGGTGGCACAGCGCTAGAATGCTCACCAACCACGCATGTAGTCCGGGGTTCGATTCCCAGACACTGACACACCCCTTTACCTCACTAAGGCAGTAATAAGACTACCAAAGAGGAGAGGGTGGGAGTGAGCCTAGCAACCTTATCCCTGAAAAATAAACACCACTGCTCCCGAAACTTCAATTCTCTAGCTTGAAGCCCTATGTCCCACTGGGAACGTAAAGGAATACATTATTTTACTGATGTTAGTTGGTGATGAAATTGCCATAAAAATTACCATCCGAATATTTCTAGAACTATACCCCATGGTTCACTTTAAGCGATTCACACAGTGTTTACAGCTTCACACCGAATGCATAACGTATATCTTAAGTGACGACTGAAATGCATTGAGAAGGTGTTCGATAACAAAGTGCGACTTATTTTTGTGCCGTATTTCAAGAAGTCACTGCATAAAACATATCCTTCCTAGTGTGTGAAGATTGATTTTTTCTAAAATTTTTTAAAATTTTTGATTACAGCTTGATTCCACACAGTATTTTTGGTACAAGTATGGAATTTTCAGCATGTCATATCGGCAGCCCAAATTTCGCAGGCCGACCATTGATATCGGGTGTGCGTCGGCAGGGGATCGAACCCAGACCATGTGTATAGTCAGCGAGAGTCCTAACCACTGTGCCACCGCATAAATGAGTTTCATATTAGGTTGAATGTTGAAACCATTAGCAAATGAGTGCAATGTAGGCAGAAAGCGGTGAATATAACAGTAGGATACCTTGGTAAATTATGTTGAATATTATTTCATGCTGTTAAAAAAATGTCATCGGTTCAGCAGTAGAAAGCTGGCCAATCATGCAAACGGCTCAGAGTCTGAACTCCATTCGACACACCCCTTTACCCCACTAAAGAGGGAAGGTTAGGCATGAGGCTAGCAACTCCATCTCCTAAGAAAAGAATAATGCCACTGCTACTGGCACTTCGAAACTCAAAGCTTAGATCCCTACGTTCCGCTAGAAACGTACAGGAATAAAATTAACTATTTATTATTAAGAGGATGCAACAGAGGTCAAAGCAACCCTAATCAATTTCAGTAGTGATGGGCCTGTATCAAGTATGTAAGGAATAAGCAAAATGTTTGGCACAATCTGATTTGCATTGTAGTTTGTGCTACTCATTGATAGATGTCAGTAGTGTGTTCAGTAACTGCTTCTGACAAGCAGTATTAATTTAAATTTAAATAGAAATGACAATGAAAAGGAAACTCAAGAAGGTTACCAGGCTGAGAATAGTCTAATGAGCAATAGACTACGAATAACAAAACAAATCAAACATAGACAAGTTGTGAAATTGAATGTCAGGCATATGTTTTTTGCTTAATACCGATCGTGTTATGTCCCAGTGAACATTGGTTACGGCGTCATGAATTTTATTCTCTTCAAATGGACTTTACCTAACAAAGATTAGCTAACACAAACAAAAATTATTCTTGGAAATATCAATTGGCATATATATATATTTTCTTTTTCACTAAATGGTAGAAGTTAGAATTCATGGGGCATTGAAATGGTTCCCAGTGCCTGAATAGTACACGAGCTTGCCTCGTGAGCGGAAGATCCTGGATTCTAACCCCTTGGGGTGGTTGTATCCTGCCGATGACCCCCGAACTAGGATGAAATAGCTGTCCAATACTGCCTGGTTTTCAATGGTTTTCTAATTGATATCAATCTGTGATAACACTCGTGAAAACATGTACATATATATATCTTATATATATATATATATAATAATATCTTATATATATAATAACGTGCATTGTTAAGGCTTTTCCGTGTTGTTAATTCATGTTAAAAGACCGATTAGTAAACAAAGAATATTCTTTTTGATAAATCCACTATTAGGTTATACAGTTATATCTCCATAATAATTCAGGAATTATTACAAGTTAGACACCGTATTGATATTATTAATAGGAACACTGAAAACCAGGTAGTACTGGACAGCTCTTTCGCAATTGCCTGTGATTTTCCAGTAGCATAGACCCACAACCACACTACGCGGTGAGCTCACTGACCATTCGGCCACAAGGATGTAATCCAGTGGTTCCTAAGTTATATCTTGTATTAATTCACGATTTTCGGAATTTACTTGAAAGTCCTGGATTTGACTGCTAAGGAGGGTCATGGGTGTGTGAAACGAGACAGATTTTCAGTACAATCTGGTCCTGAATGGACCTCTTACTCATATCAACCAACGGTTAAACTTGAAGCCAGTTAAATCCCTACATATCGACTCTTGAAAATTATTGATATAAGTATAAAACTTAGGTACTGTGGTAGAGTATAACTCCATTATAGATAAGATTTTATTTTAATAAATCATACAGTGTTGTACAGTACTCAAGTCAAATGAGTGACGTGATATGATCATGAGTGTCAATAATTTGTGCTCGAAACGCCATCAGTTAATATTACTGTATAACACTGTGTGATTTATCAAAATAAGACATTTGAAAATCAAGAATTAATGTTATTAACGATATTAATGTTTTAAATAACACCACATCTTAAATTTTTTAATTTTTTTTATAACAGAACTTTATTTCAGACAATATGCGAACAGATGATACAAAAATGTCAGTGTATTTAGTGCCAAAATACTTTTTCTTCATACAGGATTTACGTGTAAAGGAATATTCTGAAGTATATCTTCATTTCGTTGAAGAACTGCCTAGCGTTTACTTGGAAGCAAGTTAGATGAGCGTACAAGTTCATATATAGGTCATTTGCGATAACTGAACGATTAAAACAGTGATTAAACTAAGCATTTTGATGGAGAGCAATTTCGGTAGCCCAGTGATTCAAGAAGGCCGCCAACAATAACTGTAATTTAAAGCATCGGTGAGTGATAGTATGTATCAATCAAACATAAACTGCTTGCGAACGCCTACCGGTATGTCTAAATAAAGATGTAATAGAAATCATCGAACCATTTGTTCATGAAAGGTTTTAGACCTAATACTGAAGAATATTTTCCTGTCATCTATTAGGAACTGAATATATTTTCAAAGGACTGTGGGTACCAGTTACTCTAAACAGAAGAGGCTATTGCAATTTTGCTTAAAGCAACCACATTAGTAAGCTCAAGAGCAACAAGCTTAGCCACTGTTTCCACCGATGGTGTACTGTGGAATCTATCATTTCATAAGTACTACATTATGTTTCTGAGTTTATCTGACATTCATAAGGAGAAGACCAGTAGTTCAGCGAAGACTCTTTTCGGTGAATTTATTTTCACAGCTGTACAATCGCAAATATATATATAATGTTCATCTTAGTGGTATATTGCTTCATATTATCCGATACTTTGATCTGTAGTCTATTGATATTACAGGCTCTGTGTGATTTCAAACACTCATGTTGTTAATAATAATAATAATAACATTCTTTACTTTACTGCTCCCCGTTAGTCTTCCATGGGCTACTGAAAAAGGACTATACTATCCTGAGAAGTATGTTGAAGGTAATTAGTAGGACTAGTGGTATAAAACTCAGTCAGCTCGTCACTACATCAGTAGAAAGGCATCTGAATACATGCGAAAAATGGTCAAAAACCATACTCTCCGACCCCCAACACCCCCTCTATTCCCGACTCTCTCCTTGTATCTCATCAAATAGAACCAGAAATCAGTATAAAATAATCTATGCTCGTACAACCAAGTACAGGAACTCAACGATGCCATACTTGGCCCGTGTTCTAAGTGACAGAGACAATGTTAAGCGCGAAACCTATGACTTGCTTTGTTGTTAATAACATAATTTTAGGCTCTTTTATTTCTCTCTTATTTTGTATTCTATAGTGAACTGCTTCTTAAACATACTTAGCTACCTAAATTATTAACATTGGCTTACTTTTTTGTACCTTACATTATTCCTTCTTTTGTGTATCTACTGGTTCCGACTATATTAGCACTATGAGTATTACAGAATTGTCCTGTCATTAACCATTATGTAATTATTAGTTTTGTGGTTGTTTCTTATTTTTTTCGGCAATATTAACTGACAATCATTGGTTGTGAACGCCATTACCATCGTCTCAAAATTTTGTATTATGCAGGATTACTCACACTACTACTACAAACACTGCATTAGACCTGGCAATAAAAAAACAAAACAACAACCCTGAAATGTTCTTTTATGATTGTTTAGTGTTGTTTCAACCAAATTAACTGATCATCTTGGCGATAAACATTCTTAAATATCATTTCATAACTTCATGTATGACTACAGCTTTACTGTCACCATGCATAATCATATCATAGCTTTCACCACCCAATACCGAGATATTATTATATGCTGTTTATTTTCCTTTCTATTATTTGGTATTTTTTCTCATTTTTAAAAATTATTTTTGTGTTCTTTCTATTGTTGTTGTCTTTATAATTATTTTTTCAAATGCTCCTTTTAAATGTTTGATAAAATTAGATGCAGATATTACAGATATGTGCTGGAAATTCCACACTGCACCACTAGTACTGTTTCTGGAATAAAGCAAATTATTATTATTATTAACTATTATAGATATGTAACTGTAGTGCCCGATGAAGTAGTTATCACAAAGAATATTCTTTATTGGTTAATCAGTCTTCTGAAATTTTTGAAGGGCATCTTTAATCAGTTCATGTTAATTTTATCATTACATATATTTGCTTTAGCATATTAAAAGTCAATTAACTGACATACTAAAACCTACTTTATGACAAGTGCCTAATATCCTCTTATCTTTCATATTCTTCTTTCCTCTGATCAAATGCCATGGTGAATCATGAATTATACAGATTGAATTATCACCAAAACTTTGCATGTACAAATTTTCACCAGCTGCTGCTTTCAAAAAGGAAAACAAAGCGAAATTCATCTTTAAAACGAAAATATGTATATGCTGTTAAAGTTTCAAGTTTCATCACGGATTGATATAAGTTAACAAATGATGTCGATGCGGCTTTCAAAGTCATCTACCGTGCATACCAACTAATCTTAACTTCACCTTAAGAGTTCGTCTACTGCATATTGAGGAGGCTGTTGGGATCCATATTATGCAACCTAACTTATGTATGTATCCAAAAGGAGCTGGTTCAGACACTGTCCTTACCCCACTGGCCATCAAGGTTTTAATGATCCTCAATTTGTTGTGGAAATTTCCTTAATTTTATTTGATATTCTATTTGCTATTATATTTTTATGCTTATTATAATTTATGCTTCTGTAGTGAACTGTAATTCCATTGATCTTGCTTAACAAATTGACAGTATTTAAAGCACGCCAATATTGTTAATGACGACTATTCTAGAATATTTTATGTATATAAACAATATATATATATAATTGTAGAGCCAGATGAGGAAATTATCGAAAAGGATATTTCTTGCTCAATTTTTTGGTTTTTACTAAGTTAGAGAACCGTTGAAAACCAGTTAGGAGTACTCTACAGCTGTTTCGTCCAGGTCTGGGACTCATAAGAAGTACGCACTCACTGAGTTTCGAATCGAGGACCTTCTGATTACAAGATGAGCGCGTAAACTATTCAGCCACTGGAACCCAACTCACTGGCTCATGAATTCTAACTTCTACCAATATACGTTAAGGCAGTTGTATATTATGAGTGGATCCACATTGTCATTATACTGTGGTAATGTGATAAAGACAGTGTGTGCCAACGGAATATTGTTCTCACATTTTCTCACAGTTCAATACTCCACTAGAAACATTAGAAACAGGATACTATGTATTTTTGAACATTCTATTTCATGTTGCTTGATATAAATAAAAACCACACGCTCAGTGATTGGTTAACGAATATAAACTGTAGATATGTAAACAGCTGTTCGATCGATGAAAAATATACTCTGGATTCTATTTCTTGCCTTCTGTTGTTATATTTGTGCCTCAGAATCTTCGTCCAGTGTTAGCGACGAGCGACTCAGTAGGTCTGTCAGGGTCAGTGCCAATTCGAGATGATCACCGTCAACTCCCACCTTCGTGGTACGAAACTGCTACATTGCCCGCCTTCTATCCATCGAGCTGTCAAACTCCTGCATCAGGCGTTCAACTACTGACTCCCAAGTTGCTCGTCCTTCTTCATCTGACCTCTCAGTAGTGTTCCAAGTAAAAGCGACTTTGCCGAAGGCTCTTGAACGCTATTCAACTCCGCAACAGCCTCGAAGTCCTTCAAGAAGATCCATATGTCTCCTACTTCAAAAATTGCAGGTCATGGGATTTTCATTCCTCGAAAGGCAGCGACACCAAAATGTAACAACAGAAGGTAAGATATGTAAGTCAGACTATATTTTTCATTGATCAAACCGCTGTTTATATATGTACAATTTATATTCTTCAACCAATTACTGAGTGTGTGATTTCGGTTTACATCAAGCAACATGAAATAGAATGTCCAAATACATAAACAGTATTCTGTTTTCAATGCAGTACTGAACTGTGTGGAAACGCATTCTGTCTGTAACATCAAATAGAGTATTCAAATAGATATATCGTATTCTGTTGTTAATGCCGAATTGAAGTGTGGGAATATGTGAGAATAACATTCCGTTGGCACACACTGTCTCTATCACACCACCGCAATACTACTGAATCTTTTCCGCAACTTTTCAGCTCCATATATTTTTCGATATAAGAAATATGTAGTAGTTATATTGATGATAATAATAGCATTACAGAATTCAATGCTTTTTTCTTAGTCAGTGTTATTTTCTGTATGCACAGAAATCAGTTGAAATGTTTGCCAGTACTTAAAGTAGCAGACACCTGTTTTAACATATTTCGAAAGTTCTGAGTGATAAGCACTTAATACTCACTGTAGGATTCTAATGTATCAGTGTTTATTTAGACCAATCATCATCACGTCTCCATTTCTGAAAACTATGGAGATACTTTTTCTGAATGTCCTTAAACCTTCTCTAAAAACTTTTAATGACCCAGAGTAGCTTGCTTACAAATGCAGGCGAAGCACATTAGATGCTGTTATTGTACTCCACCACAATATTGCTTCAAGTCTTCATAAAGGTGCAAAATTTGTTCTAGTCACCTTTTTAGACTACACTGCTGCTTTTGACTCTGTTGCTGGGGCATTTGTACTAAGCGAGCTGATTTCAGCAAACTCTGAGGCCTGGGTAGAAAACAACGTACTGTTTTGAATGGAAAGTGCTCCACTTTGTTACTAATGGGAACGAGGCTCTGTACTCTACCTATTTCTTTTTTTCCTTCTTTTTGCATGACCTTTCATATTCTTCCAGCGCTAACTTCCTTAAATATGCTGATGATGTTACCATTTCTGCCTCACCAGTTTCTGCTTCGGATTCTTCTTATATGAATAGATTCTTGTCTGAATTTAACAAATGGTTTTACTTAAGTGGTATTAAATAAAATCCATCTAAATGTAATATTAGAGGTTAATTGGTGGATGGTAACTAGCAGTGGAATCCAGGGTGCGCATTTCGTCCTACTTAGGAATCGTCAGCTGGGTGTACATGCATTCCGCAGTGAGCGATGATGTTCCCATTGAGGCTCGAACCCACTGCCCATAGTTTCAAACGCCAAAGCGTTATCCACTAGACCAATTGGACCACGAGAGCCACCTCTTGTGCGACGGATCATATTAATTATTTAATTCAGTTTTAAATTGTCCCGTCACCATCCACCAATTAACGTCTAATAACATGACCAGATATCGTCAAAGCATGTGCACAAGAAGCCGACGTATCAACCTGAGACCAAGCATTTCGGTCCAATCAGTCAACCGTAAAATCTAAAAGTGAATTAAATAAATGTCATATTTTCATCATAGCGCAAACCCTAGCCAGTGTCTTTGGCGAGTATTTGTCCTCACACCCTTACCTGCTGCACCCTACTGGTCACGACCTCTCACTAGAATCCCAGGTAACTACCTACCTGAATAGGACAAGTCGCTAGTGAGCATCTCATTGATATTCAAGTGTTGGTTTGTAGGGATTTGATTGGTTACAGGATTTTCATCATGAGCTGACATTAGTTAGGGAACCATTGGAAAACCAGCTGAGAGTACAGGACAGCTGTTTCCTCCGTCCTAGTTTGGGACTCTTCAGCAGTACTCACCCACCGGGATTCGAACCCAGGACCTTCTAGTTACAAGGCGAGCTCGTATACCAATAGGCCCCTGGAACCCGATCCAATGGCCCATGAATTCTAACTTCTGCCAATTCACGAAACAGCTGTTCTGTACTCTCAGCTGGTTTTCCAATGGTTCCCTAACTAATGTCAGCTCATGATGAAAATCCTGTAACCAATCAACCAAATCCCTACAAAGCAATACTTAAACGTCATATTGTTGATTTTAGTTTCAGATGCGAACAAGACTTGCATTAACAGATCCGGTAATGCTAACAAGACTGTGAAAGGAAGTAAATCGAATATCTCACATCTCGGTATCAGTTTCTCTTCGAATCTCTGTTTGTCATCTCACATCCCTTCGATTTCTAAGAAAATGTTTTGTTTAATTTATTACATAACGAAGTTGAAACTTTCTGGCATAACTCAACCTCTTCTCTTACAATTTGTTAATTCATGTATTCTGTCCATTCCTCTTTATTGTTTGCCTCACTTATTCTTCCCTGGACTTCTCAAAAAAGAATTTGTCATAATATGCAGAACACTGAAGACTGTAAGTAGGGTTAGTGGTGTGTCTTTGACTGAGCTAACTGACATGATTGTCAATAAGCATTTTAATTCTTGCAAGCAGTTGGCTAAATTTATATTGTCTGATACTAAACATCCCCTTTATTCTCAGCTTTTGCCTCGTATCACTTCGGATAAAACCAGAAGAAACTTCATAAGGAATTACACTCGTACAGCTACTAAATATAAAGATGCTAAATACCATATTTAGCACGGGTTTTGTATGAAGAGTCAGGTGTCAGACAAGAACTTATAAGCTTTTTAAATCAGTAACTGAACTGTTAAGTACAAGCAAAGATCACGATTACATGTATTCTCTATGATAGTATCTACTTATACTTCAATACATTTTCACCAACATTCTATTTATAGTGGTTTCATTATTAATAGTATTATTATTTTAAATTTCATGTATCTACAAATTTATAAAAGGAGCTAAATTGCTGTAATATGTATAAAAATGGTGAAAATTCCAAACTGTATAATTATTATTGTTTAGAATAAAGTGATTATTATTATTAGTAGTAGCTAAGTTATTCATACTCATAACCTGAAAATATTTTTCTAATATGTAAGTGCTCTGGAAATCGTTACATTCTTTATATATTTGTAATCTACTTTCGACTGAATTAATAAGAATTTTGTGTTATAAAACTGAATCAATCTATCCAATGCACTTTTGATTCTTTACTCAACTCCTGTTGATACGTCTTTGCATCATTATACAAGGAAGATGAAAACCGGCTTTTTTCACTTGTTCCAGGCTTCAATCTGGGAGTTCGCTAAATTTCATATTTCAGTATGGTCTTTTTGTAGTGTCCATCATGGAGTTCCCATCAGTTGTAGTTTTTTTAACCATAATGCGGTCGTTCTGATGGAAAGAGATTTGTCGAGCAAATAACTAACGAAGAAATTTGTCACTAGTAAAATATCTGATGGATTACACTTCGATAATTAGTGCGTCGGTGGTGCAGGGATAGAATGCCCGGCAGTTACACACGTGGACGATGCTTCGTATTAAGGCTGACTTGCTCTTAAATCTCGCCTAACCGTTAAACGGGCATATATTGAGGAGGCCGTCAAACGACATTACTCGAGTGGAATCCCAATGGGAAGCAACGAGTGGGCCTTCAGCTTGATGGTGATATGGAGGTGATCGTGTGAGGAAGGGATGAGAGAGTTTCGTCGATCGTGGACCCAGCTGAAGAGGACGGGAGAAAACAGAACAAAGTGCAGATGTGTTTCTGAAGCCCTAAGTTCCACTCGGAACGCAAGGGAATAATAATAATAATGCAAAAAATCATTAGTAAGCCGGGTAAAGATGGTATGATGCCAGCAACCTCACACAAGCGCTACTGAAACTTCATAAGTCTAAAACTTGAAGGCGTATGATCTCCGTGGAATGAAATGGAATGAAAAAAACTCAGTGCAAAATCTAATCAGACTACTGATTTGACTTTGTTGATTGCTTACCTGTAACTTCTTTATTGCCTTCATGATCACAATAGGATATGATTTTGTCACCATATAAAGTTTGCATAGGCTGTGAATGAGTAAGATAAAAAGCTACAGAGAAATATCAACCAAGAATAAACTGCATATATGAAGATTAACCGATATCAAGGAAGTGATTAATACTCAATTTCGGCCGTCTCAATAAATATCGCAGTCTTATAATGAATATTATTTATATTTTTGATTGGACACTAGTCAGTAACTAGTGTAACAAGTCCAGTCCTTTGTTTACTGCAGACTGAATTCTATCAGTGAAGTTTGCAATAGGGCACCAGCAGACTAGGTGGCTCACCATCACGGTTGACTGTGAATTGTTGGTATTAGGTGGTTGGAGGCAAGCGGTAGAAGGCATTGCTTGACCTAGATGTCGTGCTAGTTGGCACTCACCAGTCAGCAAGGTGCATCTGCAACCTCGAGGGAACTCATGTCGCTCCTGAGATTCGAACCCGTGTCACCAAGTGCTGTAGTCAGAGACGTTATTTATGCTGATGTATTCTCCTTTGATTTGTTTCATTTCATCTGCCTGAAGTTCATGTCGCTCCTCAATCCTCTTGCTGGAATCTACACTTTTCTGTTGCAAAGTATGATTTTTGAACCTCATACCATATAAGCACTTCGTTGTATAAGCCCAGGCGATAGCTGCTACCGTGACATGGTGGTGACGCTTGCATATCGTAATGACTCGATAGGCTACACTAGATAAAATAAATATTCCTGCAGGTGCTACTCTGCGAGAAAGGTTGTTTTTATAATGATCAGACTAAAAGCGGATGCGGTCATGTCTCTGCAAGACTGGAAAGCATAATCAGGACCGAATGCGTTCCTCAGTTCGTGAATAACATTCATATTGGCTATGTTCAAGATAATTGATGTACTCGCCCCCCTGGAGCTCTATTGTTTGACTTAACTCAAACATCCGCAGAAACTAAGAGGTCCCGGATCATTTATTAATCAAGAACAAAACATCAGTTTAGTTTAATCTTGTTTTCTTCAAATAATTTACTGTTCAAAATTAGAACAGAAAAACTGATTTTGTTAATTATTAGAAATTCCGAGTTGATAACACCTTCCTACCAACAGCACTGGCATAAAAATGTAACCATCAAAAACGCAAGGATATGGATTTAACAACGCCTTACTTAAACAGATCCGTGTTTTGATTAGTTATTCATCAGGCCTTACAATTACGTAATAAAATATTAATCAGAGACATTTAAAGCCAACTAAGTTAACAGAATCAAAGTTCAACCGCGTGAATTATTAGAAAATAATAAGGAGGATAAGGTCATGCAAGTATCTGCATAATCCAGGTAGTCAGTCTTTGTGAATCATAAAGTAGAATGTGTATCCGGCTAAGTTAAACTTTGAGCACCACTAACTGCCATTGGAGTGCTATCGCACCAATGACCTTGAAACGCTAACTGAGCAAGTTAGTGAAACCTGACAGATAATGTTGCCATCATCAATAAAATATGTTCATCGAAGTGTTATGCTATTAAGTTACGTTTTAAGCCAAGGACAAGTTAGGGTTGGGTTAACCTAACATAGGTGTCATTAGGGTTGGTTCAAGTTAGATTATAATAAGTTTAGGGACATTTTCACATTAGGGTTAGGTTCAAGAAAGAATAAGGTTACTGTTAGGGTTAGAAGACAAAAATTATTACATACATAGAATGTGGTTAATTTACTCTGTTGTTATAAGAATAGTACTTGTTAACTGTGGTGGTAGAGTATAATTCCATTGTGGGTAACATTGGTTTTGGTAAAGTCTCACAGTGGTGTTATATAGCAATATTTACTGATGACGTTTCGAGCACAGTTTATTGTTCAGGAAATATTACTGTATTACACCATGAGACTTCATCAAAATAAATTGTACCCACAATGGAATTATGCTGTGTTGATACTCCAACCTAAAACTGAGAGCTATTTTTTATCACATGTGAGAGAAAGGTATCCTCGGTAACGCTTTTTCATAAATATATGTATTCGATACACAAAAATGCCTCCTTCACTTTATTTGGTCACTTGGGGATCACTATCTTCAATCAAATGAGTCAAAATAGAACTTCTTATAGGTTATATTCGGCCTTTTCCGAACCATGAGGGAAGATACTCATAAATACGTTTGTTGAGCTGTCTAGTTGTTCTTCCTATATAGCTCTCTCCACAGGAGCAACTAAATTTATAAATACACAAAGAAGTGTCGCAGCTAGCTAGGTAGTTTGTCTTTCACTTGAGCAATCATAATTGGTCATCTGGAAAATGACAAACAAAGGGTGGTAGCGACAGTTTAAGTCCGTTTTATTGCTCTCGATAATCTTAGATGTAAGACTTCACTAGCCACGTCCCTATTAAATTGCAGTTTCAGGAGCAGTTGTTTCTTTTTAACTGTTATCGGTTTCTTTTTATTATACCTGATGTTCACGTGTCTCTCTAGGAATCTACAAGGATAACCGATTTGGACCGGCGTATTTTGGACGGTTAAATTTTTTATATGTAAAAGTATGTAAATCAGAGTAAAACCTGAGGGCGATCTAACTGAAAACAATTTTGTTTATTGAAAATATATCTTATAAACAAAATACTTGATTATTAAATAAGGCTATAATGTTAATCTAAAATATCACAGAAGGCCATTGACTTCTGAGTCGCAAACGTCGATATACGTCATCAGAGTAATTCTGAACTCAGCACATGTTACAGTAAAGCTTAATATCTGGTACTTCATAGTAATATCATTATTATTATTATTGTGATCTACATACAACTTTAACTATAATATTCGAAGAACTTACAACAAATACTGGACAACTTTCAACCAAACCAGCAACTCCCTTATAAAAAGCCGATTCATCTTCACCAAACTCTGAATCTGGACCGAAGTACTGTTCATCCTCTGGGATTGTTTGTTTAGATTTCCGCAGTGAACATTGACCGTACGTATTCCTGTTCATACAACTGACTGTTAAAGGTTGATCACAGTATGGCCGTATGCTTTTCCCCCTATATTGTAATAATAATAACGTTATTAGTAATGCCAGAGACCAATAGGATATTTGACAATGAAATGGAATTATTGATTCACATTTGTCTGTTTCTGTTGGGGACTAACCAACAGAACTAACCACAGGCATTCTGTGCATTTAGGCATTTTAAGCCAGCAGGCCTGGTAGATTCCAGCACTGTTACACGTATTTTGTTATGAATACCTTAAGAGTTGGTATGACTTTGACACCTAAGCGCACTAATATCATACTATCGCTAATATTTGGACCATATAGTCTCTTATACCACGATTCAGCGCTGATTTAAATTTAGACTATCAAATAGGACTTGAATTTTGATAGCATTTTTAGAGTTAGGCGAAGCACTCCTAAACCTCGTTTTGCCGCTGGTAAGCCTGGTAAAGAGGAAAGGTTGGGCGTGAGGCTGGCAACCTCGCTCTCAAAAGAGGAACAACAGTATTCTTGAAACTCCAAAGCATACATGAATCCCTATATTCCATCCGGAAAGCAAAGGAATCAGAATTCTTTATTGGGAACTGGTCGCAATAATTGCAATAGATAACTATGATCATCGTTAGACAGTAGGAAGCACTGCTCTAGAAGTGAGAAACGTGAGCTTGCTTTCTCAAGGCTACACATTTTCATGATTACACACAAGCACTAAATTCACATTGAGCAGACTATGATGACGACTTCTAAGATTTGATTCTAAATCATGCAGAGCTATAGTGAAGAAATAGTACAGCAGAATCCTCACTTAAAAGTATATTCCTACATAACCTTATGTACAGTCACCAATTCACACAGGTGATTTCGTTGCTAGTGAGAAGCTGTAACCAGCGGAATTCACCAAATTAGGTTAGAAGGCGGTTAGTCGTGGAAGTTAGAACTCGTCGGCTATTGGATCAGGTCCCAGAGGCTAAATGGTTTACAAACTTGTCACGTGAAAGTCCTATGTTTGAACCCCGGTGAGTGCGTATTATTATTATTGTTTCCTTTAATTTCTAGAGGAACATAGGGCTTCAGCCGTGCGTCTCCATTGCGTTCGGTTCTCTGCTAGAGTTTTCACCTGGCTCCAAGTCTGCCCACACGTTTTCATCTCCTCTTCACATGACCTCCTCCAAGTCACCCTTGCACTGACGACCAGCTCGCCGCTTCCCTTTCGGGTTCCACTCAAGGGCTTGTCTAGTGATGTCACTTGATGGTTTCCTCAGAGTATGGCCAGCCAATCCATCTCCATTTCTTCCTGCATATTTGTTTCACAATTGGTTCCTGGTTGGTTCTCTCCCAGAGATCTCTGTTGCTGATCTTTTCTGGCCATCTGATCTTGAGTATTGAGCGAAGACAACTGTTAATGAAGGTCTGTAGTTTGTTTGAGATGCTCCTTATGACGCGCTGGCCAAGTCTCTGATCCGTATAGTAGCACTGACTGACTTCACATTGGAGTTGAAAATCCGGATCTTATTTTTGATGCTGAGTGTTGTTGACCTCCACACAGACTTGAGAGTAGTGAAAACTTTTCTTGCTTTTCCGATTCTTGCTTTGATATCCTCGTCACTTCCACCTGTAGTTGAAACGATGCTTCTCAGGTAGGTGAAGGAGGTTGTTTCTTTCAGGTTCCTTCCATTTATGCTGATTGTTATCCGTTGTTGTTGTTGCTGTTGGTGTTGCCCAGGAATCTCCATCACCTCTGTTTTCTCTATATTCACCTGAAGTGTAGGCCTATCTTTGATGCTTCTTCTGCCAACTTGTTGCTTTTCACTTGCATATCTTCCAGTTTGTGGGAAATCAGACACATATCATCGGCTAAGTTCAGATCCTCCAAGTTTTTCGTTAGGGTCCATTTTATGCCTGTTTCCTCATTCCCTGCTGTCTGTCGCATTATCCAGTCTACCGCAATCAGGAAAATCATTGGAGATAGTAAGCAGCCTTGTCTTACTCCTATCTTCACTTCGAAGGATTCCGTGAGTTTCTCGTTGTGGATTACTTGGCATGCAGCATTGTCGTACAGCTGTTGGATGAGATGTATAATTGTCGGTGGCACCCCATAGTAGCGAAGTAGTTTCCAAATCACCTCTCGATCGACGCTATCAAATGCCTTCTCAAAGTCGATGAAGTTGAGATAGAGAGGTGACTGCCATTCCAAGCTTTGTTCAATGATGATCCGTAATGTAGCGATTTGATCAATACATGACTTGTTTCTCCTGAATCCAGCCTGTTCCGGTCGAATTTTTTCATCCAGGTTGGCATGTTTGATTCTCTCCAGAATGATGCGGCTTAGTATTTTGCTTGGGATGGACAGGAGCATAATTCCGTGCCAGTTCTTGCATTGACTTAAGTCTCCTTTCTTTGGTAGTTTGAATAAGTATCCTTTCTTCCAATCCGCAGGTACTTTGCCTTCTTTCCACACCTTCTCCAGTAGTGGTGAGTGCGTACTGACTGACAAAGAGTCCGAAACTAGGACGAAACAGTTGACCAGTATTCCGTATGTTAACTACATATGAAGTTGAATGATGATGACTGAGTAATCAAAAACCGCGTTTATACATTCGCCATCTAAGGTTATTCTGACAGAGCGTTGGTAGTTCACTCGTGGACTACTCGCCAACCACGCGGGACACCTCGACTTGATTTCTGGTCGACGCCCTCTTAAACTTTGCTTAACCGGTAGTTAACTCATTGAAGAAGAGGGTTTGGTAGTGAGGCTGGTAACCCCACCCTCTGAAAAAAATACAAATGCTACTAAAAATTCAAAATTTGTACCACAGCATTGGGGCGTTTTAAAGAATTTGTATCTTTTCAAGCTGAATAATCTGTGTACCATATGTGACTAGATTTAAACTTTCTAGAGAGAATGATTCACATGGATTAACAAAATTTTTGCGCGTAAATCAAATTTTAAAAATTTCAAATATTTATATGGTAAATAAATTTGTTCTTACTCTGATTTTCGATTTCTCATGTACTCGTAACAACTTTTCATAACAAAATCACATCCCAAATTTTTACCGTAAATCCAATTCCCACTCATAGAATAATTGACATCATACCACCTAATGTATGGTTTTAGAAATTAAAGATTAGTTTAGAGAAATTTTCAAATTTAATAAACATTAATTCATGAATGGCTGCATATTCCGCTAAAATTGATGTTCATACAAGTATTTATTTACCAGTTTAACTACCCGTGCGGAGCTATTTACGATCCGGCAAGTTCATCGTTAAAATTTCTGAACACCTCCCATCTTGGTTTTCAAAGGTTCAAATAAAGCAATACGCACCTCAATGTTAGCTCATCTCGTCGATACTGCACATCAAATAGACTCGAACAAAGCTTTTAAAGTTATTTATCCTCTCGCATGGTCTACGAGTACGACTTTTAAATACAACAGAGGCAATCACAATTCATCTGAACAAGCCGAATGTATGAGTCAGTTCAAAATAAATTTGTACAGCCCCTATCTTTGCCATGGTCAATTACATAATATGTATAAAGTTTTAAAAACGATTTTGCTCTTCACCTTATAACTATCTTCCGACTTTGTTAATTTTTACAATTTTTACAATTCTAGCTAATTCTAATAACTTGCTTGTATTTTACGTAATTCTTCTGAGTCATCCCATTCTTCTTAGTCATTATTATAGTGGTGCAATAAGGAGTGCGATAATTGAACACCTGGTTAACACTGATCATTCCATTCCAACAAACGCCTCCTTCAAAGTAATCTACAGAGTCAAGAATAACCTATCAAAGGCAATACGGTTTCGTCTTCTTGGTATCGCTAAAACCCTGGCCATGCACACAGAAAATCCGGAGCTGTGCATACAAAAGAGGATTACTCAATCATTATTATTTTACATTTTTCTTGATTATGTAATAACTTGTCGCTAAAGCCTAAGAATCAAATCCCTACAAACCAACACTTGAATATCAATGAGATGCTCACCAGGGACTTGCCCTATTCAAGTACGTAGTTACCTGGGGCTCTAGTGAGAAGTCGTGACCAGTAGGGTGCAGCAGGTCGGGTTTGAGGACGAATACGCGCCGAAGACATTGGCTAGGGGTCGCGCTGTGTCGTGAATTGGAAGAAGTTAGAATTCATGGGCCATTGAATCAGGTGCCAGTGGCTTAATGGTATACGAGCTCGCCTTGTAACCAGAAGGTCCTGGGTTCGAATCCCGGTGGGTGCGTACTGCTGAAGACTGCCAAACTAGGACGAAACAGCTGTCCAGTACTCCCAGGTTTTCCAATGGTTCTCTAACTAATGTCAGTTAATGATGAAAATGCTGTAACCAATAAAATCCCTACAAACCAACACTTGAAATTCTGTAATTAATTCTCACTCCTCTTTTCAAACTTAGATATCTTGTTACTAATAGCTATTAGTTTATTGTTTTGATGACCTTTAACCTCTTAATTTCACACCCCCATACCTAAAACCGATTAGCTAAAATAACCATTTGATTGGTAAAAGATTTTTGATGTAAAAAACTATATATTAGTGTGGAGTCAGCCGATAATGAGGAACTAATTGAAAAGGAATATATTTCTTCGCTCAATCTGTTGTCTTGTTTTTCTAAGTGCATAAATGGGAATTTGGAAATATATAAGAGAAAATTTCATTTTAAACGTTGATGACAAATTGACTTCAGCTGGAGAACAGCTGGAAACCAGAGAGTACTGGATAGCTGTTTCATCCTTGTTTGGGAATGTTTAGAAGTACACACTAATTATCTCACCAAAGGTCGAACCTAGGACCTTACGGTCAAAGGACGAGATTGTACGTCATTCAGCCACTGGGAGGAAATTCTATGGCCCATCAATTCTAACGTCTATCAGTACGCCTTGGTTTTCAGTGGTTCTCTAATCAAAATTCAATCTTGGAATCCATCAAACCCCTGAAAAAACCAAAACTTAGAAATAAACTTTTATGTTCATTCATATTTGGTCTTTTTCTTAAAATATGAAGAACTATATTTTAGTAATTGTTTTAATGCATAATTCCCAAATATATGTTACCATTGAAATATATAGGCGTGAGCAGTTTCTGTCTTCTAAACACGTAGACGAAACTCTTAGAAAAATAAGTAGATAAGAAGAGGAAAACGCAGAATGCAGTGGACACATCAGCACCAATCAATGGGATGGCTGGCAATGTTTTCCCTATCCGTAAGTTAAATATTAGAAACTGATACAAAAAACTGAGGTTGTGAGAATCAGATAAGTCGAGTTTCTAAATTTATAGTTTTATTATTAGTTGAACCAACTGTCTACTGATCAAAAGTAGTGCATGTTCCATTTTATAAATCAGTTAAAATAAGACATGGTTGGAGGATTTCATCATGAGGTGACATCAGTTAGTGAACCATTGGAAAACCTGCAGGGAGTACTGGACAGCTGTTTCGTCAGACTAGTTTGGGTCTCTTCATCAGCACGCACCCACCAGGGCTCGAACCCAGCACCTTCTGGTACTGCTGAAGAGTCTCAAACTAGGCTGATGAAACAGCTGTGCAGTACTTCCTGCAGGTTTTCCAATGGTTTTCCAAATGATGTCACTTCATGATGAAATCCTCCAACCAATCAAACAAACAAAATTCTTTACAAAACCAATACTTGAAAAATAAAGTAAGATTTATTTATTTGATAAGTAGGTATTTAGTTCATTCTGTGTATTTATTTTAATGAAATCGGAGATGAAATTTAAAAATGGAAGAAGTGGCGGACCCTTCACGCGTGTTTTCAGTTCCATCTGAAGAACACGTAACCCTGAACACGTGATTGACAAAATCTAACTACAATTCTTCATTATACTAGTTAAACACATCTTTCTGACTGTCATCAGCGAACAAAATCTTTGTTTATGATTTCCTAAGCATTGGTGTAAGTAATGTGACTTAAAGCAAAACTTTCCTAGCTTGATTAGCTAGATAAAATACCAATATTTGAAAGCGTTCATGTACACACATAATTGGCTAACTTTCAGACTTGAGTATAACATAGTAAAAAGTATTATAAATTATTTGAAAAAATCCCAGCGTGTTAAAGAAAATACCAGAAGAAGATTTTTCTGAGAACGTTTCGTTTTGTAAGCCACAGCTTTTTCAGCACAAGCAGCTTGGAAAGTAGGTGATAAGGAGTGTGATAGTATGTAATTCCTTCTATCTGAAATCAAAATATCAGTAATTGGATTTCGGATCCTCTTACCCCATGTCATTAAAAATAGGATTTGTGAAATGTTTAAGGGATACGGCAGAAAAACTGAGTAGTACCAAAGAAAATATAAGACAGGAAGTGCGACATATAAGAGAAGCTTTGAAACTTAATAATTATGCTAATAAATTAATCAGGTAGTATGTAGGAAAAAGTAAAAATAAAATTCACAATAATGATAGTCGTAGTGATAACAATTATAATATTAATGACGACATACATATATCAAACATGCACAGAATAACGACAACACCAAAAGCAGCGAATTTAAATCATCAGTAGTACTTCCATACAAAGAAGGAACCTCGGAAACCACCTTACTTAGAGTTCTCAACAATGCAGGAATATAGGTGGCATTCAAGCCCACAAAATCTAGATTAGTTGACCCAAATAAGATAAGAAATTTACAGAATAGTTCAGCTATAGCACCACATACAATTACTCACAACCATACAATAGGATGGGATGGGATAAGATGACAGTTTTAAAATCTAATGTCACAGGGCATAGGGAGAGATTGATAACAGAAGCTTTGTTTATCGAATCAACAGCAAATACGTGTAGTAGGAATGATTCAACACCTGTCCACCCAGACATCTGGAAAATTCTACTACCTCAAAGACGACAAATGTGAGAGAACAAAGAAAACTATGAAATTCAAGTTTCGCAGTCGTGTGATTATAATTGATGAAATGATTATGAACAATAAATTGCACTCAAAATTCCATCCAGCAATGATCCAATTACTCACAAAGGAAACTGTGTGCAGACATTGTTTAAAAGAGTTCAGACACATTGTAGCACTACAGAGTTGAAAAGAATGGAAGAAAAGTACCTACAAACGGTCTTCAAAAAGAATGGTTATCCACAAAATTTCATCAAAAAGTGCTTAAAGTCAAATCAAAACACCAACAAGAAACCCTCATCATCAAAGACCACAAGAAAATTCATTCTACCATACATGAGGAATATCTCTGAAATGACAGCTAGAATACTGAAACCGTTAGATATAGATATAGCACACAAACCAGTAAAATCGCTTAATTCGATATTATTCAAACCAAAAGATCCAACAGAAAAAGGGGATAAAATTAATACCATTTACAAAATAAATTGTATGAACTGCAACAAGCATTACATCGGCCAAAGTAGGCGTCCCCTTCGAATCAGAATCCAAGAACACAAATCAGCCGTGAAAAGACATGATATGTATTCTTTAGTATCAATGCATATAGACAAATATGGTCATCAATTTGATTGGGATGATGTCAAAATCTTAGACAGAGGAAACACCAAAAGTGCCAAGGAATTCTTAAAAGCCTGGTACTCAAGCGAATATACGATTAACAAACATATTAATAATGACCAAATCTAACAACTAATAAAAAGTAAATCATGTGACGAAAAAGTTTAAAATCCAAGTCAATAAAAATGATCAATACAGATGTAAATCGACTACAACCAGTCATGAAGATGGTTACCAGGAGACACAATTCTGTCATTCATGGATAAGTCAAATCTGTTCATTTTATGCTAAAACTTGTGCTGAAGATGTCATCCGGAAGGACGACGAATGCTCCTCAATTAAATTAACCAGCTCAGAGGAAACACCAAAAGTGCCAGGGAATTTCTAGAAGCCTGGTTCTCAAAAGAAAATGCAATTAACAGGTACGTTAATAAAGACGAAATATACCAACTTATAAAAAGTAAATCAGGTGACCAGAAAGTTTAAAATCCAAGTCCATAGAAAATGGGTTAATACATATATAAAGATAGTTACCAGGAGACGCAATTATATCACTCATGAAGAAATTTAAATCATTTCACTTTGTGCTAAATATGGCACTGAAGATGTTGTCCAGAAGGAAAACGACAGCTTCGCAACTAAACCAACCAGCTCAGAGAACACTATTAATTGCAAATACTGTGTCTAATAAACGAATTGATATGGAATTAAGTGATAAGGACGAAAAAATGGAGTAAAGCATCCTACTAAAAGTGTATACATGTGGACAAAAATTCAGCAGCTAAAGTTTTTCCGTCTTTTTAAACCATAAGCCTACTGAAAAGAACAAAAAAGTGTACCATTTCCTCCACCAATAACAGTGAAGTAATGATTACAATTATGTACATAATACATCATATACAGAAAAATCACAAATTTCGCAATAAACTACAAGTTACTAACTCATTTTGCAAGTAGTATGTTTGTATTCGTCAAATTCATTCCATTAAATGTGAATTTGGTCAACACTTTATTGCAGTTTCCAATGAACAGACGTTTCTCACAATATTTAAATCTTAATCTTAGTATCATTAGCTAACAAGGTACTAGATATACGCTGCTTAGTTTCCGAATGGTCTTAAAGCTCGGTAGGTTTGTAATGATAAAGTTTCATACGGAGTCTTAGACGTGAGTCTTTGACATCCTGTTTTTCTAGGTGTCTTTCATGTTACGCAAGAAGACATTGACGAAGAACTTTGGCATTTACCCAATACACTTTGTCGAAGTCCATATGAAAGAGATAGAGGGTGGAATAAGACATTCAAGAAAGTGTTGAACCCACACTCAAAATTTAGGGGTGAAAATATAAGTGAAGTAAATTTGTAAATTCGTTGACAAGATCATTATAGAAAGCATTTTTTTGCCCCACTCTAAGAATAAAGTAATCTAACTGCCTACTGATGAGCGTTTATGTTGTGGAAATGTTATATGGATTGTCCAATTCCATCTGCATTTATACATTCACCTACTCTTGTGTGGCAAAGTAGATTGAATTTTCGAAATCACTGAAAGGAGGAGGTTCTTCGGTTGTTAGGAATTCAATAAAAGAAGTAACATAATGAAATTATATCAAATGTCAAACAGCGACAAGAAAGTAAATGTAGTGAAATACAGTTTAGCTATTAACGGTTAAACCGGTGATATGAGTCTTATTTCATTGACTGACAAATAAAGTAAAAGCACAACTATGCTTGACAACGGCACATGTCCAGTGATCCACAACAGAAAACTCAGCGAGGCGTTTGGAGTAAACACAGGAGTCAGACAAGGGCGCTTATTATCACCAATGACATTCCTAATTGTCGTGGACTGGATTATGCGTCGTCAGACAGTGGGAAACGAGAAGACAGGGATATCCTGGACCGACGTGAAGAACCTAGAAGACCTGGATTTCGCAAATAATTTATGTTTGATGTCACACAAAATCGCTGACTTACAAGCGAAAACCGACAAACTGGTTGGTCGAAGAAGCAGCAAAGACAGGACTCCAGGTGAACATAGACAAGACGGAGGTTATGAAAATAACCAACCAACAACAACAGTAACATCTAGAGCCAATCGCCATCAACGGGAGGGATTTGAAAGAGGTTACTTCATTCACTTATCTAGGGAGCATTGTCTCAACTACAGGATGTCAAAATGAGAATCGGGAAGGCGAGAAACACATTCATCAACCTGAAACCAATCTGGAAATCTTCGTCACTCAACATCAACACCAAATCCGGATTTTCAATACAAACGTCAAGTCAGTCAGTTCTTCTATACGGATCAGAAACTTGGCGGGTCACAAAGAATATTTTCAACAGCCTGTTGCAGACCTTTATCAACAACTGACTCTGCTCTATACTGAAGATCAGACGGCGGGAAAGAATCACCAACAAGAAACTATGGGGACAAATAAAACAAGAATCAATCGCTCAACAAATATGCAGGAGAAAGTGGAGATGGATTGGACACTCGCTGAGGAGGCCGTTGGGTGACATCGCTCGTCAGGCCTTCGAGTGGAACCCGAAAGGGAAGCAGTGAGTGGGACGTCCAAGGGTGACATGGAGGAGGTCGTGTAAAGAAGAGTTGAAACAGTATGGATTAACATGGATGCAGGTGAAAAGTACAGCAGAAGACAGAAGCAAGTGGAGGCGTGCAGTTGAAGCCCTATGTTCCACTAGGAACCTAAGGGAACAATAATAATAATAATAATACAACTATGCTTAAATATCTTGTGTTTAGAAACACTGTTAATTAATCAGTCGTTGCAAATGAAACTTATCGGAAAATTACTTAATCCTTGTGCCTTTAGTATTTACTTCTAGTTTGCCCTTTCGATGAAAACTTTAAATAATGTTGTATCCTTCCACCCGAAAATTCAGTCTTGAATCACACATATCAGTCTAGCTAAGCTTGATAACTAATTCAAAGACGAATTCAAGCTCTCAGTGTATGATAGTGAACTTTTATGCACTGTGTCTTCAGCATATTACTACTGTCCTCTTAAGTTCAGAGTGGGAAAAGCGGTTTCAGATGTACACCTCCATTTTGTCTTTACCAGGTTTAAGTATTACATCATCTCATTTCCGAGTGTCGTAGTCAAGCAAACAACCACAGAAGAATTAGAAACTCAAGTTTATAGGAAATCAACTCACGCGGACCAAATACTCAACTACAACAGTTACAATCCAATAACACACAAAAAGGAGTTGTATACAAACATTATTCAAGAGGGCGAGAACTCATTGCAGCACTGCCACCTCACGTAGAATTGATGGAAGATATCTCATGGACGTCTTCCAAAAGAATGGATACCCACGGAATTTCATCAAAAGCCAACCCACCAAATCAAAGGCTCCGAAAGAAATCACAGAGAAAATCACCCTACCGTCTATAATGGACATCTCAGGAGTCACTGCAAGACTCTTCAAACCTTTAGAAATTGATGTCGCAAACAAACCAACAAAATCACTTCACTCAACTGGCTCTATGTCAACCAAAAGACCAAACACGAAAGAAGACAAAAACAACATCATCTACAAAATAAATTGTAACAGCTGCAAAAACACTACATTGGCCAAAGTGGACGATGTCCTCTTCGTCTTCGTATCCATGAACACAAGCTAGCCGTCAAAAGACATCACATACACTCCATCATATCGCCTCACTGCATACAGACAAACACGGACATCAATTCGACTGGGAAAGCGTTCAAATATTAGACAGAGAAAACAACAAGAATGCTAGAGAATTTTTAGAAGCTTGGCATTCCAGTGAATCATCAATCAATAGACACATCGACATAGACAAAATTTACTGACCGATATGAAGGAAATCTCACACACAATGGGCCAAAGTTCAAGTCAAGGGAAAAATAAACATCAATACAAGTGGCCTAGACGGTGTGAAAACACAAGAACAACCAGTCACGTTCAAGGTCACCAGAAGACATGACTAGTAAACTCGTGTAGAAATCTAAAAGCTCACTCCAGCAAACTGAAGTATGCGCTGAAGATGTTGCCTAGTAGGGGGCAATTAAAGCTTCGCAAATAAACCATCCAACTCAGAGAACACAACCGCATCAAAATCATCCACCTGAGCTACAAATCTTCCTCATCATAACCGTGGATACATCTATAAGATTATGAGCAGTAATAAATTGTACTTGAAAAGCTATCCTGTTAATAATACTGCATCCCTGTTCATTATATCAAACAGACTTATCTAATATGGAATTGTATTTTACTACATTGCCTAAGTTCTTCGCTTGAATTAATAATAGTTAAAGTATCTAGCTGGGCTAAACGTTTGCTTCATTATTTCAGCATATATTATATATTTTACTTTATGCCAAATGTATTAGAAGGAAAATTGTCTGTGAGTGAATTCTAGCCGGTTAAATCTTTTGAATATAACTTACCCAGTATCCTTAAAATAGGCCAAAGTAATTCTTGAAGGAATTAATTTCACTGCAGTTGCACCAGCCATTAATTCATCCTGTAACAGAAATTCATTGAAAAACTTTATCCTATCCTTTCTCAATGACATATAATTTTAAAACCCATAAAGGAACACCGTCCTGCAATCTCCATTCAAAAGTTGAAGCAAGCGATCGACGAAACAACTTCCTACTGTCGATATGTTGATGACACATTTATAATGTGCAAACATGAAAGTCATGCTTCATATTTACTCAGATTATTCAATGATGCACACACGAATATTGAGTTTACTATGGAACATGAAAGTGACAGAAAGTTTCACTTCCTCGACACTACCATGGAATGCCTAAAAGACGGTAGTCTTCAAAAGTCACTTTATCGAAAGCCTACATGGAAAGGACAATACTTACATTATAATAGTTTTTGTCCAAATAGCTTTAAACGCGGTCTAGTCAAGACTCTGTACTAAAGAGCGAGAAGAATATGCTCTATAAAGAAATTAGAGGAAGAATTTGAGTTTCTTGAAAAGACATTGAAGAGCAATGGGTACCCTCAAAGGTTCATCAACAAGTATGCAAGATCTGAAGTCACAAATGTAAAAGAAATCACAGTGGGTAAAAAGCCAATCTATATTCAGCTTGATTATAAAGGTGAAAACATTGCAGCAATGATCAACAGAAGGCTGAGTACATCACTAGCCATAGCCTATTCTGCAGTCAAGCTCGTTCTTGTCTATCGAACAACTTGCTCTTTGATGCAATCAAAATCGATAGATATCCTTCTCATGTTAACTCCAACTGTATATACAAATTTACATGTATCTGCGGGAGCAGTTACATTGGAAGGACAGAAAAGAAGGGCATATCTACGATTTTCTGGACATGTACCGAGAAGCTTATGTCTTCAGCTGGGAACAAATGCTTTAAACAGTGCCGTCGCCAAACATCTCCTTGACATGGGTCATGAGGTGGACTTCACAAGATCTTTCAAAAATTATCAGTAGGCAAATGAGTCCTATTCTCCTCAAGTTTGCTGAAGCCATTTCCATCAAGCGCCTGAAACCTGATTTATACGTCCAGAAAGAAGCGGTTATCAGTCTTTCTTTGCCCTGGTAACTGGATATTTTTCATCAGAATGCGAAATGCTGAAAAGTTTCCATTGTGTATGATTATTATTGTTCGGAGTAGTGTTTAATATTACATATACATATATATATTATTAGTGTATGCATAGATTGATCGATTGATTTTTGTTTAAAATGAACTCTGTGCAAGTATGTTAAAATTGTTTTTGTTAAATTGCAGATACGCCTTGCTGACTGGTGAGTGCCAACTAGCACGAAACCTGGGTCCAAGGCTTCTTGCCAATTGCCTCCAACTATCTAATATCATCAAATCAATGTGCACCGTGATGGCGAGCTACCTAGAATGGTGGCCACATTGCAAAACCTGACTGATAGAATTCAGTCTGCACCAAAGAGAGGACTAGACACATCACACTAGTTACCAGTGTCCAATTAAAATTGTTTTTGTTGATATATTTAATAATGTCTTTGCCCTGTAAGCATCTGACGAGAAGGCAACGAAATAAAAGATGGTACCACTTTATTCTGCTAAAACTGTAGTTCTTTCTTTTGTTCAAATTCATTTTAGGGAATAAATGTATGGAATATCCATTCACAAAATCTATTCACAATACTGATACTTATGTGAATATTTCAGCCAACTTAGTAATTATTACCCTTTTCACTCTGATCTGTATGTCACTGTCTTACCATTCACATGGCTTTTTTGACCTTGTTTTTGCTTGGTTACTAATTTGAGTGCTTCTCTTTGTTGTTGTTGTGTGACAGTGTTGATGGCCTGTCGTCATACGACTGAGAGTGTGTTAGAATGAAGTCAAAGTTACTCCGTGGAGTGTCTGCTTGACCTTGGACTATCTTAGGGAAATATGTTTTCAGTTTTATTTGATTCTAGCAAGCGACGTTTTGATCTCAACCTATTGAGAATATTCTTATTGATTCTCAGGCAATTCGCAATTGTGCTTGGTTAATTGTTTTTGTTGTATTTTCTACTTGGGAAATCTTTCGGACAGCACAGATACCGAATGGCTTTGTTGAAAACTTAGGTGAACGAAGTAATTGCATTAAATCGCAAAGATGGTGGTTCTATGGAACTTCAATCACTGACTCAATCAAGAATGATCCTCATAGATTATTGTATTATTGCAGCCTTGCGTTCTCAGTAGAACATAGGGCGTCAACAGAACATTTCCATTTCACTCTGTTATCTTCAGTCTATTTTCAGCTGATTCCACGATTAGTTAGGGTTACTAGTTACGTCATCAAAATGTTCCAAAAATGTGATGAATAATCAAAATGTAACTAGGGGGTGGAGATTGGTAAGTATTGACAAGGGTTGCGTAACATGAAGGAAATCCAGTAAAATAGGATGTTAATGAAAGACCATGGAGAGAAGTGTCCAAAATAGATTATGCAATAAGCAGAAGGAATAAATAAAGGGTTGGTTAAGAAAAAGATATTACTATGAAGTCATACAAAAATTCAAAAAAGCATTATTAACAAAGTAGTAGAACTTGGAATTATAGCCAAGGTAGAAGGAGGCAGTGGAGAAGTTTCTTTTGTGTGTACATAAATCAGGGTTTTCTATCCGGATCGCTAAGGCCACGATTTACCAGACGCTTTCGTTTCCTCTATACATAATCTCCTCCATGTTACCCTAATATCCACCCCTAACTCGTTATTTCTCATACGGGTTCCAGCAGAGGACCTGGTGCGTGATGTTACTCAGTGACCTTCTCACAGTATATCCTGTCCATCGCCATTTATTTCTGCTTGTTTATTGGGAGACGGGTTCTTGGTTCGCTCGCCACCTATCAGAGTTCCTTGTTGTTCATCCCTTCTGATCAGGCTATCAGATTTTCAGTGAGGTAGCTGTTGATATAAGACTGAAGCATGCTGAAAATACTTATGGTGGCGCGTCAAGACTCTGAGCCACATAGAAGCATTGAATGACTTGACATTAGTGCTGAAAATCTGAATCTTGTTTCTTATGCTGAGTACAGCAGATTTCCAAACTGGTTTTGTATTATTGGAGATCTGTCCTGCTTTTCCGATTCTTCTTGTCTTTGACACTGTCAACCATGTCACCTCTACCTGTCTCCAGTGGTCAGAGTATAGGTTACTATTAAACCAGGTGGTTACCAATGAGATTTAGAATTTATAGCAAAGTTATAATAATTTTCAAATGCGATCATAAAAGATTTTCCAGTAATTATACACTTGATTTCAGAAACCAGATTTAATAAGTTTACACTATCCTAACTGATTAGAAAAAAGTGACATAGGGGATATGAATTCTTTTCTATTGTAGCACTTACTCCCCTGAGGCCTCTTGTAGACGTGGCTCATATATTTTATTGGTATTATTTTTAGATCAACAAAGATTTATGAAATATAACATTCAAGAAAATCTAGATTTATGATACGATAGGCATTCTGAATCCTTATACTCCTAGAACATATCCTTCAAATTAGCCGGGAATGCTTGTGTACCATTTAGGGTTGAAAAGCATGTACGCTAATAGGATTTGTCTAAGTGAGTGGAGTTTAACTGTTTCTGAAAATCTGAATAACACAGAGAGCGAAAACATGATCATGTCAAACCGAAACCGTGCTGCCGATCCCTGAAAGATGATTTAATGCATGCTGAACAAAATTATGTGTCTAGTAAACTTTCTTTTATTCTGAAAGCTTACACCTGTGTGATTATTCGGTTAAGGCTTGAAGTAATTTCTACCTGGCTAAGTCCCCTATTTCATCACAGTGTTTGATTTCTAAGAACACAAAGTAGGAACTAGTATGACATTTGCTGTCAGTTGCTTGCCATCTCTCACTAATTATCTCTAGCGTGTAACATTCACAAGTCTTCATTTCCCACATGTTACCTACCCTCAGATGCTTCCTATTCGGTTCTGAGGTGTACTGTTGCTTAAATGTCATCATGGAGTATACCAAATTCAACTCCATTTCTCTGTACATATTTCCTGGGTAGCCAGCGGGTTCCTAATTGGCTCACAGCCTGCCATATATCTTTATTGCTTGCTTCTACTGTAAGACTTTCTTCATCGATTGAAGTTAGATGTAGATGAAAGTTCCCAGACTGTTGGAAATGATTTTGGTGTCTCGCGCGCTAAGTCTGTGAACCGTCTATAGAAATGCCGTTTTGACATAGGTGCTAAAAATTCCAACCTTTTAAACTACATGAGCTTCAACAGTTCATCAGTCATGCTCAGTCTCAGCTCACGTTAACTTCTGCCAAGATTTCTAGTGGAATTAAACTAAATTATAATATGATTACACAGTATTGAATTAAATTTCAGATACTTACACCAATTATTCTTTTCTCAAAATGCGTATTTGCTGTACCATCTCCACCTTCATTTTCTAATTCCACACCATCTAGTTCAGTACAACCATAGTGTCTTCTTGCCTCTTCCTCAATGAAAATTTCAAATAGCAGATTCATTAAATGGAATATAAATTAACCGGTAAATAGAAATGATTTACGTCAATACAATTTTTAAGTTCTCACATGGCAATGGATTAAGACAAGATGATCTTGGAGTTTACAAACATTTGTATAAAACCTCACTTCCAAAAATAACAGTGTCAAAACGTTATAGTCCCCGGATGGAACCACGTTAAATCTGTGAATACAAATAAGTTGGAAGTGTTTTCCTTAAATAATTAGGTAATACATACAATTATGTATTTTAATAAAGTCCCATGGTCGTCGATCATACAACGTTGAACACACAGGTTCTCATCAGAGCATCGAAGTTAAGTAACGTCGGGCCCGGTTAGTAGTGGATAGGCTACCGAAATTTTTATTCGTCGGTGGTGCAGGGTTCGATCCCCAGTCAACGCACTTCCAAACCTCTCATAGCCGATAATAAGCCCGGCAAAGAGGGAATGTTAGGCGTGAGACTAGCACTCCCACCCCCTAAAAAACAAGTACCTATGCTACCAAACCTTCAAAGCTCTAGCTTGAAGTCCTATCAAGGAAAGGATCTTTAGATGGTTGGGAGCAATCGGTAGAAATTCTTGAACCAAGGAGTAATTTTTTAATAAAACTGTGTAATAATTTATCGAGAGTGTGGGAACCTGCGAATTACTTATATGGTATATTGCCGTGGTGTGACTGCGGAACGATTTGCAGGCTTTTAGGTTTCACTCGAGCTATGTTCAAACGTTGGACGTGATTCCTTGCAACCTGAAAGTATAGATCTCATTCTTGCTGGGTTTATCGGTGCACAATGCTCATAAGTATCAAACTACGCAGAAAAATAACTGTCCAGTAATTCTTATTTTTCAGCAATTGTTCCACTGATATGGAATCGTGAAGAGAACGCAACTGCATCAGAATCATCCACCTGAGAAACAAATCTCCATTATATCTATAGCTGTTTCTTCTTAGTTTCAAAAATCTCAGAATTATGTACCTACCTATATTTGAACCCAGGACCTTAGGGTTACAAGACGAACTCTTAGACCCTTCAACCACTCGAAGGTGATCCAGCAGCCAATGAATTCCAGCCTCCACCAGTTCGCGATATACACAAGGCAAACGCCAGCCACTGTTGTCGGCGACTAACTGTCGTCTCACCTGAGTTGGTGGACTCCACTGGTCACGAATTCTGACCAGAACTCCAGGTTAATTCTTATGTAGAGCCAATGATGAAACCTGTGATTAACTAAATCCTTGCAAACTAAAACTTGACTAAAAATTTATCACAATATCATTTAGAATGATTTCAAAATAAGATAAGATGCAGCATAAGTGATTTGATATTTAACATTACAATTATAAGAAGTTATTCACACAGCTTGTGCGTCGGTGGCATAGCGGTTAGGACGCTCGCCGACCATGCACATGGTCTGGGGTTCGATTCCCGGTCGACGCACTCCTTTACCTCACTAAGCCAGAAATAATGCTGGTGAAGAGGAAAGGTTAGGCATGAGGCTAGCAACCCCATCCTGTAAAATAAACACTGCTACAGAAACTTCGAGCCACTAGCTTGGAGCCCTATGTTCCACTGGGGAACGTGAAGGAAAAAAAATTCACACAGCTTACAAGAATGTTTGGCGTAACTAAAGACTGGTATACCTTCGTGAATACACCTTTTGCTGTTACCCATGTACGATTGATAGTCCTGAGTGTATTATTACTGGAATAGCAAATATTTCGTGATTAGTTAAACTGTTTCACAAATTCATATGATGTTAAAATTATATTCACACGGGTATCTCAATAGGTTACCTAAACTAAAACGTAAGAACTAGGATATATTAGGGTGAGTATTACAACCTGCATTGTGCTCACTCACTTAGCGTTCCCTAGTTTTTTAGTTTATGACTCACATATATCGTCTTAGATTATGTAAACCTAAGTAAATATAGCAGTATTATGACACTAGATAAACAGGACTTCAGGATACTATTGCAATCCTAATCAGTGAATTACAATGGGGTAGAAATGTTGGTTCTGAAATGTCTTCCAAGCTTGTTGCGTAAGGAACAGATTTGTTTGTAAGGCTCCGGAAGGGTTTAAAAGGCTTTGGTATTGGCGACGGAAATGCTAGTGCCTGTGTTATCCAGTCATGTGCTCAATACGAAACACGTTTGTGTCTTTGAATGAATGAAACAGCAGTTAAGCGCTTCATTAAATAGCGAACTATGAGTTGTAATTCAAGAAGGCCTTTTTGTCTCTTGTGATACAAGCTGATTATTGGGCTCCAAACTTTAAAGTTTCATTTGCGGTGGCGTTTCTTTCAGGGGGTAAGGTTGCTATCCCCCCTCAAACTTTCTCGTCCCTGGGACCGTCACCAGCTAATCAAGGCTTCGTACTTCCTCTATCTAGAGTGGAACAAAGGGCTCACTCATGACTGGTAGTATTCTAAAATTGTACCACAGATGTAAACCACTCCTTTACCTTAACTAAACGATATACCAGTATTACATAACTCCCACAGTGTGTCAGTAATACACAATCCTGAAGTATGAAGTCCTCTGATGATAGCTACGCATCATTTCCGTGGGATGACGGAAGATTAAGCATTTTTGTATCATAGATACAACCTGACTAAGGATCTCTGTTTCCAAAATTTCCAAGGATATTCAACATTACGTCACAAATTTACTAACATGTTTATTATAGACCAAAAGCCTTGAATTTTGAGTTACCTGGGAATAAAGAAACCGGATTTCGTATCAATCTTGATTGGCGTATCACTTTGCGAATCACGTGGTGTTCGTGGATTGCCATTTTCATCACGCATTAGAGCGAAATTTGCTGGTGTAAACCCCTAAAAGATAAAATGAAACTATGTAATTTTTATGAACATAGTTACGGGGTATACAACTTAACACTCCTCTTTATTGAAGAGTATATTTCTTCTACTCAGTCGATATTTGGAATGTTAATACTTATTTGTAACCTCGCCTAGATTACTAGGTCACTAGTATTCTAGCCGGGGCGTGGTGCTAGCAACTCCACCCCCAAAACTTAACCAAATTGCTACTAAAACTTCAACGCACAAATATATTCAAAATTCTATAAATACAAACAATAACCTTATTTTTCACTGGAATCGGGGAAGTGAAATGACGCAGGCTGGTGAAAGCCTTCGGAAAGCCAGTCAGCCGATGTGCCTCCATTCGATGAAAGCAAAAATAAGGATGGGGACGTGGAATATTCGTACAAAGTACGAAACTGGAAAGGCTACCCAGGTAGCCGCAGAAATGAGGAGATATAAAATTGAAGTGCTGGGAATCTGCGAGAGCAGATGGAACGGATGCGGAAGGTGCCAACTACCAACTCGAGAGACAATAATCTACTCCGGTCACCCAGAGGACGATCACGAGCACACCGAGGGAGTAGCCATCATGATGTCACCAACAGCCGCTAAAGCTCTCATGCAGTGGGAACCAATCTCCTCCAGGATAATGACAGCCAGGTTCAACTCAAAAGGAAAGAAAGTTACAATCATTCAATGCTATGCGCCTACAAACGTCTCAGAACATGAGAAGAAGGAGGATTTCTACAGTCAGCTACAAACAGTAATTGACAACGTCCCGAATGGCGATATCAAAATCCTGATGGGTGATATGAATGCGAAACTGGGAGGAGACAATACAGGAAGAGAACTCACCATGGGTCGTGAGGCCCTCGGTGAAATGAACGACAACGGTGAACTCTTCCGAGACTTCTGCGCCTTCAACGATTTGGTGATTGGTGGCAGTGTGTTCAAACACAGGGATATACACAAGGCGACATGGATTTCACCAGATGAACACACCAAAAACCAGATAGACTTCATTTCAATCTCAAGGAAGTGGAGACGGAGCCTACTGGACGCAAGATCGAGGAGAGGAGCAGATGTGGGTTCAGACCACTATCAAGTACAAGGGACTTTCAAGGTGAAGCTGAAAGCCTCGAGGATAGCTGGGGATAGGCCACAATGCAGGTTCAACACTCAAAAACTGAAGGATACAACCACAAAGGACACCTTCACTGCAACTGTCAGAGCGAAGCAGGAAACACTACGTGGCACCACTGAGGGATCATCCGTGGAAGACCATTGGAACTCCCTGAAGGTAATTTTCAACGAAACGTGTTCAACGGTTCTAGGAAGAAAGAAGAGACAAGACAAGGAATGGCTCTCAACGGACACTTGGAAGCTAATAGAGGAGAGGAGAAAAGTGAAAGAGAAAATGATTCAATGCAATGACGGACAAGAGAAGGAGACGCTGAGCTCAACTTACACAGCACTGTACAAAGAAGTGAAGAAGAGTGCCAGGAAGGACAAAAGACAATTCTACGACAATCTGGCTACTGAAGCTGAGAAGGCAGCAGGCAAAAGGGACCTGAGGACACTATATCAGATAACCAAGTCTCTATCCGGGAAGAGGTCAACACAAGTGAAACCTATAAAAGACAACCAAGGGAAACCAATTACCAAAGAAGAAAGACAGATTAAACAATGGGCGGATCACTTCAAAGGACTCTTGAACCGACCACCACCTACAACCCGTCCAGAAATACCAACAACAGCACGTACACAACTGCAAGTTGACACCAATCCTCCAACTAAAACTGAAGTCATGAATGCAATCAGGCTTCTGAAAGCTGGAAAAGCAGCTGGACCAGATGGAATACCCCCGGAAGCAATGAAAGCGGACCCAGAGAAGACAGCAGATATGCTGACTCCATTACTGCAAAAGATCTGGAAAGAGGGAAAGGTGCCTACTGACTGGAGGAAAAGTTACCTCGTGAAACTACCAAAGAAGGGCGACTTAGGACTCTGCAAGAACTGGCGAGGAATCATGCTCCTGTCGACGCCAAGTGAAATTCTGAGTTCCATCATCCTGGAGAGAATCAAGGACGCACTGGATACAGAACTCCGACCAGAACAAGCCTGATTCAGGAAAGGCAAATCATGTTCTGACCAAATTGCAACTCTTCGCATCATCATCAGAACAAAGCATGGAATGGCAATCAAACCTCTACCTCAACTTTATAGACTGTGAGAAGGCCTTCGACAGCGTTGATCGCGAAGTGATTTGGAAACTACTCAAGTACTACGGCGTACCCCAAATATTCATCAACCTTATTCAACAGCTGTACGACAACGGCACATGTCAAGTGATCCACAACGGAAAACTCAGCAAGGCGTTTGGAGTAAACACAGGAGTCAGACAAGGGTGCTTATTATCACCAATGGTATTCCTAATTGTGGTGGACTGGATTATGCGTCAGTTAGTGGGAAACGAGAAGACAGCGATATCCTGGACCGACGTGAAGAACCTAGAAGACCTGGATTTCGCGCGTGGATGATTTATGTTTGATGTTAGAAAAAATCGAAGACGTGCAAGCGAAAACCGACAAACTGGTTGGTCGAAGAAGCAGCCAGAGAAGACAGGACTGCAGGTGAACATAGACAAGACGGAGGTTATGAAACCAACAGCAGCAACATCCAGTGCCAATCACCATCAACGGGAGGGATTTGAAAGAGGTTACTTCATTCACTTATCTAGGGAGCATTGTCTCAACTACAGGCAGGTGGAACGGACGAGGATGTCAAATCGAGAGTCGGGAAGGCGAGAAACACATTCATCAACCTGAAACCAATCTGGAAATCTTCGTCACTCAGCATCAACAACAAAATTCGGATTTTCAATACGAACGTCAAATCAGTCAGTTCTTCTATACGGATCAGAAACTTGGCAGGTCGCAAAGAATATTTCCAACAGCCTGTTGCAGACCTTGATCAACAACTGCCTTCGCTCTATACTGAAGATCAGATGGCCGGAAAGAACAAGAACCAACAAGAAACTATGGGAACAAACAAAACAAGAACCAGTCGCTCAACAAATATGCAGGGGAAAGTGGAGATGGATTGGATACTCGCTGAGGAGGCCGCTGGGTGACATCACGCGTCAGGCCGACGCTCGAGTAGAACCCGAAAGAGAAGCGGCGAGTGGTTCGTCGGTGCAAGGGTGACATGGAGTAGATCGTGTGAAGAGGAACTGAAACAGTATGGAATAACATGGATGCAAGTGAAAAGTACAGCAGAAGACAGAAGCAAGTGGAGGCCCTCAGTTGAAGCCCTATGTTCCACTAGGAACCCAAGGGAACTATAATAATATTAATACTTATTTGTGAGTGCAGATTTGTTATCCAATAGAAATTTTTTTAAACTCCACAAATTTTTTCGTTGAGAAAGTGAAATCTATAAACAGACTAATTGTATGTGTGAATGAGAAATCTGTGTCTCTGAGATCAAGTCCTGTTTAGTTAGCTTTCGCTATTATTAATATTATTCCTTTAGGTTCCGAGTGGAACATGATGCTTTAACAGCACATCTTCATTTCATCCGGATCCCCGCAGTTGCCTTCATTTGGCCTCTAATCTCCTTCCCACACGATCTCCTCGATGACATACCCAGACCGAAGCCTGAATTTCCATTTCCCATTCAGGTTGCACAAAAGAGACTGTTTGGCTCACTACTTCACTCACCGAGCGTTCTATCCATTACCTTCGTGTATTTTTTTGGCATTAGGTTCTTCGTTGATTCATTGCCAGGATTTCTTGTTGCCACTCCTTTCTAGCTGACGAACGCAGCTGTTGATGCAGGTCTATAAGCTGTCTGAATTTCTTTCGATGATTTCCCCAAGTCTCTGAACCACATAAAAGAACCGACTTGACATTAGTGTTGAAGATATGGATGTTGTTCCTCATACTTAGTGCAATAGATTTCCACGCTGATTTCAGAATAATGAAGGTTTGTCTGGCTTTTCCGATCTTGACTTCAATAGTTGAAACGATGCCGCCTAGAATAGCAAGAGCAGTGTCTTTTTCAAACTCCTCCAGTTGATAATGACTGGTGACCGTTGTTGTTTTCATCACCTCCATCTTTTTTCTGTGTTAACTCGAAGTCCTGTTTCCGCTGCTTCTTCCACCTGAAGATCTTCGAGTTTTTGTGACCTTAGACATAAATAATCGATGAAGTCCAAATCTTCTAGGGTCTTCCTTATTTTTCTGACGTATTCCTGTCTTTTTACTACCCATGGTCTGTAGTATGATCCAGTCCTCTACACTAAGAAATATCAATATTGACAGTAGGGAGTGTTGCATTACTTCTGTTAGCATTCAGAGTTCACGCGATTTCTACAATATCATTTATTGCTGCATTTGTGACTCTTTCTTGCACCTTCAGTATGTTTGTCAACATTTGTAGAGAGAAGATGAATACTTCGATCTAATAAAATTCGAATACTCATAGATGATAAGTTATGTTTTATTTATACCTTATAAAGACAATATGGTGCGTCGGTGGCACAGGGATAGAGTGCTCGCCGACCACAGATGTGGTCCGAGGTTCGATCCGTGGCCACCAACGCACTCCTGTACCTCGCTAAGCCAGTAATAAGACTGATAAAGAGGGAAGGTTGGGCATGAGGCTAACAACCCCATCCTGTAAAAATAATCACCATTGCTTCGGAAACTTCAAGCCTCTAGCTTCAATCCCTATGTTCCACTTGGGACATAAAGAAATAAAAATAAGGACAATACGATTTATTTTTAGAGTGCCATTCTGAAAATAACCTGGAACATTGTTCTCCCAAAATACCATCCTTACCATTCAGGTATTTGGAAATAATCACAAGTATTTAAAGTAAGCACAGGTAATAATCAAACATCAACAACTGATAATGTATTTTAGCAGCAAATGGAGCAACTTAAATTATTTTAAGCACCAATTCATTTACGTTTTTTAACTACCGTTTTGTACGACAGGATGTCTTCCTACATAAAACTATATTCTACTGTTTGGTTGAGGTGAGTGCTCGTATGGAATCATGTCAACGAGTAGTACACCAATGATGAGCTTCGCCCCTAACGAGCGAAGCAGCCGTCTGGTGTTCAAATCACATCGACCTGGCTAGCGAGCACATCCTGTGGTCTGAATAACTTGGTTTTCAAAGTTAGTTGTGTACACGGCGAACTGCTAAATAATTTGCGAATTGTGGATTCGAATAAGTTGTGTATTTCTGTCGTAATTATGGCTCTCAGATCGAAACATTTCTGTTTATTTCATTCATAAATTCGCTTCAATTGGTGAGCTTTCAAAGAGGTGACAAATGTCCGACATCATATGTTCTAATCCAATCGTATTTAAAGTTTAAGTTTACTGATTTCAGTGTTTTTTATGTTCTCACAGATAACCTGATTATGTAAAAACTTAGAGAAAGTATTTTCTGTATTCAACAAACTTTATGTTATCCCACGTTTTCACCCGATAGGTTTTTCTGCGCTATTGAATGTTGATCAGCACCAGACTTTCACTTGGGAACTGTCTCAGACATTTTCGGTAACCTAAGATGTCTATTCGACATGTTAAGGCATCATATGCAACTGTCCTTATTATAATTACTCCCTTGCGTTCTGAGTAGGACATAGATCCTCAGCTGCAAGTAGACATTTTGCTCTGTTCCCTACAGTCTATTTCCAAGACTGATTGTTAGCTTTCACTTTCTGCTTACACGACCGCCTTCATGTCACTCCAGGAAGTCCAGATCGTCGTTTCCTTTTCCGGTTCCTCTCTAAAGTCTGTCTGGTACAGGATATCATTTAAAGGTCTTCTTAGTGTATGCCCAATACATGATACGATCAACAAAAGTGGACATCTGTGTTGCATATGAAGAAAGCGTTTACGAAACCAACAGCATTTTCTCAAAGCTGATATTTTAGAAAACAACTTCTTAGAAAATTAACGCATCATCGTGACGATGTCTGCATTTATGAATATCAGTCTTTATACCGTCAAAGTTGAATACTTCCCTCTAATGGATGACTTTTTTGAAGTGTTCCTTGTTTAAGGATGACTTTCAAATATTCCTGAATTCAACTTTTGTCTCCATTGACAATCCTAATTCTAAGATACAGACGCATATTACGTAATTTCGCAGATATTACTAGGTATTTCAACACAGTTGAATTTGCCCAGAAGGGATAAGCAGAAAGGTACTTTGACAGTTTAGCGAACCAACCAAGAACCAATTATCATACAAATATACTAGAGGAAATAGAGATGGGTCTGATACACGCTGAGGTGACCATTGGTTGACATCGCTATCTAGGCCGTTGAGTTTAATCCAAGATTGAAATAGGGGATACGAGATCTTAAGAACAATCGTACGGCCACCTGATGAGGGCTAGACAAGACAACATGGGGCCCTTTTTCACTTGGAATCCAGAATGACAGTAAAAATGACGAAAATAATAATACAGTAGATGCACTGACTGGTCATCAGAAAGTAGTGTCATTTTGTGAAGTCTTATATGATGACCGAGTTCTGTCGAACTAATAAGATATTAATCAACCAAGAAACATTAACCATTACTTCTTGTTAAACCGCCTTAAACCACCTGTCAGATAATTAGTTACTGAAGTTGTAAACGACGCATCGAATTTAAAGTGAATCTACTTTATAACTTACTAGAGCATGGGCAATTTCATGGGTTGCTGTTGAAGCCATCAACGGAATATCCAAGTTAGCAGCATTCAGCTTATCAGGGCAAAAGTTGATAATTCCGATTATCGGTCTAAATATGGATAAATGTGGTGATTATGTAATCGGATTATTAGGCATTTTATGTGACAAAAGAACATATAAACCTTTGATTATAATGCTTTAACAAAGGCCTTCAGAAATAGATGTATTTATATACATTCACTGTGCAGTGATGTTTCATGTCATTCTCAATAATTTAAATAGGAAGTTGCTTGGTTTTATCACATACTGATGACAGAATTCTGATGTCTGAGAGTAAGTAATATGAAGGCTAGTTGTCTAACTGATATCAAATTAAATACGGTCTCTTTCGTATTTTGAAATGATCACTGTTTCCTTTTTCACACAGAGTAGCAATGAACTCCTGTAACCAATCAACCAAATCCCTACAAACCAACACTTGAATATCAATGAGATGCTCACTAGTGACTTGACTCATTCAGGTAGGTAGTTATCTGGGGTTCTAGTGAGAAGTCGTGATCAGTAGGGTGCAGCAGGTCGGGCGTGAGGACAAATACTCGCCGAAGGCATTGGCTAGGGGTGGCGCTATGTCGTGAATTGGCAGAAGTTAGAATTCATGGACCATTGGATCGGGTCCCAGTGGCTTAATGGTATAGGAGCTCGCCTTGTAACCAGAAGGTCCTGGGTTCGAATCCCGGTGGGTAAGTACTGATGAAGAGTCCCAAACTAGGACAGAGGAAACAGCTGTCCAGTACTCCCAGGTTTTCCAATGGTTCTCTAACTAATGTCAGCTCATGATGAAATCCTGTAACCAATCAACCAAATCCCTACAAACCAACACTTGAACTCAATGTAAATTTGAGCGTTTGGTATAAACTGGGTCATAAATAGGAGCACAAAACGTTAAATAATTATTAAAACAGAGCTCAGTGAGCTTTGATTCAGAAGAGATATAATCAGCTCACACAATATTTGAAATCTCGCTTTAATAATAACAATAATTTGCTTTATTCCGGAACAGTACTTATGTTACAGTGTGGAATTTGTAGCATTTGGTACAATATTGCATCTGAATTTACCAAATAACATTTAAAAACAATTATAAAATAATATTACATGATTGCTAGTGGCGGTCCTTATTTGGTATTTGTAGTCAAAGTAAAATGATAAACATACAAAACATTTCAAAATGATGATAATAATGCTACCAGTCAAACTTGTCAGTTAACTGAGATAGTGTCACCATAGATTGGAAAATAGCAGATAATGAAAGAGCCGATTATTTTGCTAACAACATAGTAATTCATAGATATCGTGCTTAACGTTGTCTCTGTTGCACAGAATACAGGCCAAATATGGCATCTTTGAGTTCCTACACTTGGTAGTACTAGCATATAATTGTTTTGTACTGATTTCTAGTTCTACCAGTTGAGATATAAGGGGAGAGTTGAGAAGAAAGGGGGGTGTTGGGGGTCAGACAACATAGATTTAGACCATTTCTCGCATGAGTTTAGATGCTTATCAACTGATATAGTGACAAGCTGACTAACTTGAACACCGATTTCCCCTGCTAACAACCTTTGATAACCTTCTCAAAATGACATAGTCCTTTTTCAGTAGCCCAGGAAAGACTAAGAGGGAGCAGTAAAGTACACTGGGTGAGATACAAGAGTTAAAAAGTCGTGAAAGTAGAGGTTGAGTGATCCCAAATTGTCTTAGCCTCTTGATGTAGTAGCCAAGACAGAACATCTTCTTGAAGATATACAATATGTGGGATGACCAAGTTTCATATCCAACTTACACGATCTCTTCCGTGTCACTCTCGAACTCTTAGCTCATGGTTCTCACTTTGGGTTCTATTCCACGGCCTGATTCGTTATGTTATTCAAAGGTCTTCCTTGAGTTCTACACTCTGTTTCTTCTTGACTCTTTTGAGGGAGATGGAAAAACATTATTCACTGGGAAATTATCCAGAACATTTGCCTATAGGCTTACCACTCGTAAATTACTCAGCAAACGTGCAATTTAATATGTATTACTAATAAAGGTTATGATTATACTTATTGCGGCAAAAACTTAGTTTCCAGAGTATTAAGTAATCATTTCATGTGGAAGATAAATTTTGCATTTACCATTTCATTTTGATACAACTGTCATTCTAACAGTCGACGCCTTCAAAAATACAGAGTAAAAAAATATTTCCGAAAACTGTACTAACCTATCTGTAGATGGATGTAATTGACACGGTGCTGCATAAGCTATTGTTCCACCACCACAATTTGAAGTATTCGAACTGTCAACAATTATGATATAAGCGTTAGGCAACACTCCTGTACCATCCTCGTGTACAGTATATATATTTCCATCTTGATTTCGCATTTTACATCCCTTTATTTATAATAATAATAAAAAGTAAATTATATTACTATTTCGTCATTAATACTGTATGTGTAAAGAGAATATGAATATATGACTGCAAGCCATTTTAGAGAAACCAGAAGAAATATCTCACACATGTGAATAATGAATTGAGCTCATTTCGACGTTCAGATTTCTCACTAAATGATTGCATATCGGTCATAACCATATTACAGAATCTGTTGATAAAGGTAACAATTTGAACGGAATGAGAAAATGTAAACCGACTTGTTTGTCACAGAATTTATGCCCCAGGGTATTGTATTTCCATGGGTTATGTTTCCAATGTACAATATATGCATGCATTCGTTTCAGATCCCTTTTCATAAGTATCGTAAATGTACATAAGTTGTTAAATGCTTATTCGGTAATGGACAGACATAACCTTGATCTTAAAAGATTAGTTCATCGCTGAGGGCGTAAGTGGAGCACAGGTAGAATGCTCGCCAGCCGCACACGTATTTTGGCTTTCGATACCCTGCCGACGCACCTCTTTACCTCGCTTAGCCGGTATAAGCCCTGAAAAGTGGGAAGGTTGAGTGAGAGACTAGCAACCCCATTTCGTAAAAATAACACCACTGCTACCGAAAATTCAAAACCCTACGTTCCACTAGGAACACTATGCATGTAAATGTAATATAGGCCATTTTGAAAGTTAGTGAATTGCAGTTGAATCCTCGACGCGCATTTGGTGTCATTTAGGACTCGTCATCTGAATGTACCTACATTCCCAGTTAGATACAAACGAACGCTGGTGAAAACGCTTTTCTCTGGAGCGAAGAGAATATGTTCACGAGACAAACTAGACAGCGAACTAATGTTTCTTGAAAAATGCTTGAAGGAAAAATGGTTACTCACAAAGTTTCATTTACAAAATGGCAATAATGAACTCAAGAAGCTTGATACAGCTACAGTCAGTAAGAAGCCTATTTTCATCAAACTCGACTACAAGGGCGAAGGCATTAGGAGAATGGTAAATAAAAGAATAAGCGCAGCCCTGTCTAGAACGACGCATCTGCAGCATTATTAGTCTCTCTACCCCGAATAACCTCCTCACTGGTGCAGTCAGAGATTGACAAGTACCCGTCACATGTTACGTCCAACTGCGTATACCAATTCACAAGTATCTGCAGGAGCAGTTACATTGGAAGAACATATAGGAGGGCCTACGTCAGATTTTGCGAACATGTACCAAGGAGCCACCGGTTAAAGGGACCGAATTGTTTAGGCTCTTCAATCGCCAAACACCTGATTGACACAGGACACCGAGTAGATGTGCTGGAATCATTCAAAATAATTAACAGACAAAGCACCTCAAGTCTTCTCAGGTTTGCTGAAGCTATAGCAATAAAACGATTGAAGCCTGACTTATGTGTCCAAAAAGAATCCGTTGTTGGACTTCAATTACCCTGGTGACTCAATTCTTAGTAACTCTTTGTTTTCCAATTTTGTTGATTCTGTTAACTTATCTGTACACTCCACTTCCCCCTTTTTTTCGCTTGACTCTTTTAAGAGATAATTTTTCTTGATCTTCTGAGTTCTGCTCACTATATTACATCATTACCTTCTCATCTGACCTCATGTGTGCCGAAATTTAAAATAAAATTTGATCTTCTCTTATCTAATTACGTAAATAATACTAATTTTCTTTTGTTACCACCCCAACAACACAACTGTTAATTAATTTTTTCAAGAAACTTCTCTCTAACAAGACATATATATATAAGTCGTAACACTTTAGACAACTTGTAAATCGCAACGCCTTATTTCACAATGACGCTCTGACACTATGCTTGCCAATGGACAAAAGTTTGTTAAAATTGTACACTCTTTTTATTTTATTAAAGAATTCAGGTTGTGTGCAGCTGATGAGAATCGACGAAATAAAATGGATCCAGATTATTCTGCGCCAATGTTTCTTCTTTCTGTGATCAAATTAATAAGAGGGAATCATTGTATGAAATTCCCCAGTTGGTTGTAACGCCCGCTTAATAAGAAGAAATGCTCATGTATTGATCAATTAATTCATGACACAACTCAACCCCCCCACCCTTTCGACAATACATTACAAAAGCCGAATACACTATTGTCTAACTACTATGCGACAGAAGTTACTTTCCTCTATGCCTCGCTGCATATACACAATCTATCTGCACATCTTAAAAGACTGACTGACTAACTGGCCACCTAGATTTTTATATGAGCACTTGAATTACTTTGGTTGTTATTATTATTACCACTTTGATTGTTATTCGCTGATATGAATACTTGAACCTTAATTATATTAATCACAATAGTATCAACTCTCTATACTTAATAATTTTGATATGTAAGAGTAAAGCATGAAGGGATAATGTATCTAGTAATGATCTGAATCGGTTTTTTAAAACAGATATTTACCAAAAGCAATTTGCCACAAATTATTTGACGTTTTCCGACTTTTCAGCATTTGGTCGCGGGCTTCTGATTATTATTATTATTATTATTATTGTTTCCTTTAATTCCTAGAGGAACATAGGGCTTCAGCCGCGCGTCTCCATTGCGTTCGGTTCTCTGCTAGAGTCTTCACCTGGCTCCATGTGTGTCCACACCTTTTTATCTCCTCTTCACATAACCTCCTCCAAGTCACCCTTGGACGACCAACTCGCCGCTTCCCTTTCGGGTTCCACTCGAGCAATGGCTTGTCTAGTGATGTCACTCACTTGATGGTTTCCTCAGAGTATGGCCAATCCATCTTCATTTCTCACTGCATATTTGTTTCACAATCGGTTCCTAGTTGGTTCGCTCCCAGAGATCCCTCTCTGTTGCTGATCTTTTCTTCCCGGCCATCCGATCTTGAGTAGTATTGAGTGAAGACAACTGTTAATGAAGGTATGTAGTTTGCTTGAGATGCTCTTTATGACGCAAAGTGCAAGTATCTGATCCGTATAGTCAGTAGCACTGACTTCACATTGGAGTTGAAAATCCGGATCTTATTTTTGATGCTGAGTGCTGTTGACCTCCACACAAACTTGAGAGTAGTTGTCGCTTGTCTTGCTTTTCCGATTCTCGCTTTGATATCCTCGTCAGTTCCGTCTGCTGTAGTTGAAACGGTGCTTCCCAGGTAGGTAAAAGAGGTTGTTTCCTTCAGGTTCCTCACATTTATGCTGATTGTTGTCAGTTGTTGTTGCTGTTGGTGGTGTTGGCCAGGAATCTTCATTACCTCTGTTTTCTCTGTGTTCACCTGAAGTCCTATCTTTGATGCTTCTTCTGCCAACTTGTTGCTTTTCGCTTGCATATCTTCCAGTTTGTGAAAAATCAGACACATAACATCGGCAAAGTCCAGGTCCTCCAAGTTTTTTGTGTGAGTCCATTTTATGCCTGTTTCCTCATTGCCCGCTGTTTGTCGCATTATCCAATCTGAACCCTTGACTTAATGTGACACACACTTCCGGCACTAAATTAATTTCCGCTAAGTCTGCTTAGAAACTTAACTGAAAAGAATTTGATAAATTAATGATTTTACTAAGCAGATTTAAGATTTAAACTAAATAATAAAGATACTGAAATTTATCGAGTAAAACCTCAACTATATTACTTACTGAAAGATATTCCTTTGGTATATCATAGTCATAACATTTGACTGTATCTTTGCATCCGTTTGGGCAGTATGCTACTCCTGTCGCTTCATCCGTAACAGTAGGTTGTCCTTCACAGGGTCTGTGAATTTGACGATAGTGAACAAGGCAATAAAATGTTAAGCAAAATAATCGTACATAAGTACTCTTGAAAAGTGTGATTTTCAATCATATTTTCTACAATTTAGCGGTACTCATTTTTGCCGTAATAAATGATGAAGCGATTATTCAAAAGACTCGTTTCCTGATAAATTAAAAAACCACTTTCTGTTTCAGGTTTATTGTGAGTAGGATTGCGGGAGTTGGGAGATCATTTCTGTCCCCGTCAGACCTCCATGGTTTATTGAATAAGTCCTTGTCATCATTCTGGGCATCATTTCAGTGTTCCCTAGCAGCGACATCCTGTTGTGTGTCGGTGGCACAGTGGTTAGGACTCTCTCCGACCATGCGCATGGTCCGGGGTTCGATCCCCTGCCTACGCACATCTGATAACTATTGTCAGCCTGTAAAATTTGGGCTACCGATATCACATGCTGAAAATTCCATACTTATGCAAAAATTACTGTGCGGTTTCAAGCTTTAATCAAAAGAAAATCAAAATAAAGTATTTGTGATTACCACTTTGTATATTTTACTCATGAAATGAAGTTGCACATATGCTTCATGTACAAAAGCCAATATTTCAACACTAATTCGTTTAAATTATTATTTGAACACAACTTAGGGAAATTTTGGGTAATTTCTCATCAGACACGAAAAGCTCTGCTATCCGATCACTTAGTCCATTCTCAAATTTAATAACTTCAACAGCCTGTATGGACATTACATTCCTAGAATGTATGGGTTACGTATAACCCACCAACCCAATTGTTCTATACGCCCAATAAATCACCAGATCACAAAGTAGCAAGATCGTTGGCAGACACACTTATAACCAGTAAATTTGAAAGTGGCTAAGTATATCCTGGAGGACAGCATCAGATTTAATGAAAACTTGACATATAAGAAGACTGATAACAAAACCATGATTTGCACAAATGCCACTCCTCTATTCCCGAAAGTCTCTTCGTTAGAGACCATTGACTTCATTTGTCATTTGCTGCCAGAAGCAGTTATAACAGCTAAAACAATACCAGAACTGCTAATTTGTTTTAAAGCAGAGGTGTAGTTTCAGTTTAACAACAAAATGTATCGTTAGGTTGAGCCTGTGGCCAATGGCTTCGTCTTTAGTTCTCTTTTAGCCAAGATGTTTATGGTGAAATTAAAGAGTGATTCACCTGAAAAATACAATCAACGAAAAGTCGTGCTACTGAAGATATATGAACGATACTTGCGTAAAAATAAAATCACTACTGAGGTTCCTCTCAAAACTTTCAGTATGCTTAAGCCGAAAATTGAGTTCACATATGAAAAAAAAACGATAATTCATTATTTCTCAAAATTCTCCAAAAAGACTGCTAAATGGCACTAGTTTTCTTTTTATTTTTTATTCCTTCACGTTCCCAGTGGAACATAGGGCTTCAAGCTAGAGACTTGAAGTTTCTGTAGCAGAGTTTATTTTTACGAGATGGGGTTGCTGGCCTCATGCCCAACCTTCCCTCTTTACCAGTCTTATTACTGGCTTATCGAGGTAAAGGAGTGCATCGGCCGGGGATCGAACCCCGGACCATGTGCATAGTCGGCGAGCGTCCTAACCGCTATGCCACCGAAGCTAGCAGGCTGGGTATTTTCCATAAAACGTCATCAGTTGGCTAATATATCTGTTTCATATAGTTTATTTATATTGCATACAAATGAAATCTCATTAGTACTCTGATGCTCCATGCTATAAAAATCTGCACAACAAATGCTGGTTTTATGACAATGTCACGTGTCAGGTAGACCACAATGGAAAACTCAGAGAGTTGTTCGAAGTGAATACAGAAGTGAGACAAGGCTGGTTTCTTATTATCACTTATAACATTCTTAATTGTGGTGGGCTAGATTATATGCCACACTGTGCATCGGGAGTGAGAAGACAGGAATACTCTTGACCACCAATAAGAAGCTTTTAAAAGATCTGGATTTCACGCGTGGATGATTTATGTTGAATGTAACGCAAACTCGAAGACTTAGAGGTGAAAATAAACAGGCTGGCAGAAGAAACAAGCAGCGAAGACAGAAGTGCAGGTTAACACACAGAACGCAGAATTTCTGAAGATAACCAACTAACCAACAGCAACAACGACATCAACCAGCACCTATCAACAACAACAGGAGAGATTTGAAAGAGGTCATTTCCTTCACTTATCTGGCCAGGAAGCACGGTTTCAACCACAAGCAGTCGGAACGGATGACAAAGATGTCAAAGGCAGTCAGAATCTTAAAGGCAAGATACGCCTTCATCAACCTGAAACCAGTTTGGAGATCTTCTGCACTAACTCAGTATAAATTACAAGATTTGGATTTTAAACACAAATGTGAAGTCATTCAGTCCTTCTATATGAGTCAGAAACCTGTACTGCGTATCACGGAAAGAGTAAAATGACCGGTGAGAAAGAATTCGTAAAGAGGAACTCTGTCTGGGAACCAGCCAACCAATAGCCGATTGCTTAACAATTATGTAGGAGAAAATGAAGGTGGATCAGACACACACTGAGGAGACCGTCAAATAACATCGCGCACAATGCAGGCTATCTCTCGAGTGAAATCCCAATGGGAAGAGACGAATGGGTCGTCAGTCACATGGGAGAAATCGTGTGGCAAGGAGCAAATGAGAAATTATGGTCAATCGTGGACTCAGATGAAGAAGATAGCAGAAAATAAAACAAAGTGTAGACGTGTTGTTCCACTCAGGACCCAAGGAAACAATGATATTTGTAGTTGTATAAAAAAGGTTTTAGAGTTCAAGAAAATTCCATCTTAAATGTATTCACCATCATACAGTCTACTGTGAAACAATTATACATTTTGGAGGTACTTTCTAAGCATAAATCATTGATTATAGCCACCATAGTCATAGAACTGATTCCAACAGTCATGTTCCTTCGTTTTACTTATATTTGTGCGAAATACAGGGAGATGCTTTTACTTTCGTTGTCTTCGAAATGTTAAACAATTTTAAACAACAAACTATATTTGTGTATAATACATCAAATAAGCAACTAACATGGACGATACCCATTTTTGTTGTGGTCCCATTAGAAACTTGAAAGAAATTCTAAACGTTCACTGAATTTACAAATGAATTGAAAGAATACTTCATATTGTTAAGTGACAGTTTTATAATATTGTATAAACTTATCAGTTTTGAAAATTACCTATAAATAAGTATGTGTTCACCAGACTTGTCTTTCACCTTCAGAGCGTTTTCCCAAAACTTCAACGCCTTGTTGACCACATTTTTCTACAATATAATTTTTTTTAAATAAAAATAAATCAATACTGGTTTGGAGTTTGATAACAACCTAAACTGTGGACCTCGTAAGAGGAGATATGAAATGAAATTTTTCTACTGGATAAATAGATCTGTAACGGTACAGAGAGATGTAATTATCCTACGTTTGATAGCGCATTGATTTATGAGGGGATACCGTGGCTAGACGTTGAAACTGATCATTGTGCCCTAGCTCTCATTCATTTTGATGTGTGACGACGCTAATCATTCGAAAATCATATAAATGTGGCATGATGTTAAGAAAATAATTCTCGTTTACTTCTTCAAACCAAAAATGAAACTGCAACTGTAAGCACGTCAATCGGTGGAACTTTCGGGGTAGACAGGTGGAATTGATGCATACGACAGACATATTAAGGGTAAACTGGCTACTTTATTGTCTGATAATTGTGTACAGCTGCATTAACCCTATATCACTGAGTATCCTAAAAGTATAGTATATTATTATTATTGTTCCCTTGGGTTCCTAGTGGAACATACAGCTTCCACTGCACATCTCTACTTGCTTCTGTCTTCTGCTGTACTTTTCACTTGCATCCATGTTAGTCCATACTGTTTCAGCTTCTCTTGACACAGTCTCCTCCATGTCACCCTTGGACGTCCCACTCGCCGCCTCCCTTTCGGGTTCCACTCGAGGGCCTGACGCGCGATGTCACCCAGCGGCCTCCTCAGCAAGTGTCCAATCCATCTCCACTTTCTCCTGCATATTTGTTAGGCGATTGGTTCTTGTTTTGTTTGTTCCCATAGTTCCTTGTTGGTGATTCTTTTCGGCCATCTGATCTTCAGTATAGAACGAAGGCAGTTGTTGATGAAGGTCTGCAACAGGCTGTTGGAAATATTCTTTGTGACCCGACAAGTTTCTGATCCATCCGTATAGAAGAACTGACTGACTTGACGTTTGTATTGAAAATCCGAATTTTGTTGTTGATGCTGAGTGACGAAGATTTCCAGATTGGTTTCAGGTTGATGAATGTGTTTCTCGCCTTCCCGATTCTCGATTTGACATCGTCGTCCGTTCCTCCTGTAGTTGAGACAATGCTCCCTAGATAAGTGAATGAAAAGTATGGTAGCCGAACGTTTATTTCATTTTCCTCACATCCAGCTGATTTCATTCTTTACCTGTGACGATTTTAAGATTCACATTTATTCTAGCATACTATAAAACATAAAAACTTGGATTGTCTGGGCTCGATACGCAACTAACTTACTCTGAAACCTCACTTAGCTGGTTGTTTGCCCTGTAAAAAAGTAGGGTTGGGCTTAAAGCCCGTAACCCGACCGCGTAAAATAAAAGCCGCTGTTGAAAGTGCAAAGTCTAAGCTCAAAGCGCTGTATTCCGCTTGGAATTAAAAACAAATTTCCATGAAGATGATCTAATGATTCTTCTAAATTATGAGTTTGAGACATTCATTTTGAAACACATATCCCACAAGCACACTAATCAAACTTAACAGTTTTACCCACGAAAGATACTGTATATAACTTACTTCGAATTGTGTAAAATTCACCATAGATTTCAGTTGTTCTGTGTAATAAGCATGAAATTTCAACTCATTACTGGATGTTTGACGTTTTTCAACACTTTGTGAAACGATAGCGTAGGTCTATGGATAGTGTTATAGGTAATTAATGATGGAGTCGTCATTTAGAGATGCTTACCATTTTAATGTCCTGTAGTGTCCGACAGACATGTTCACTGTTGATACATACTGATAATAAATGTAGTAAGAATATTATTCTTTTAACCATAAAAAGATAATCATTATGAGAAAATAGGAAATCCATTAATAGTTCACAGCCTGTTTCTGCTTCCTTTTTATACAAAATATCATTTGCACACTTTCTAGTTGCTTATGTGAAGAAAGGAAGGGGGTGACCATTTGAAGTAAATTGTGCTACTTTGTTTTTCAGAGACTAACACTGGATGATAGCAAAATCATGTGTGCTACAACAAACAATAATTTAACTAGATATGGAATAGTTTTTGTGAAAAAAATATATTTACTACTGATAGACTGACATGAGTAGTCGTACATCATTCACATGTGGCCTAACAGATACATAAAGATGATCCAAACACTGGATAGTAGCTTCGCTTTTTTTGGAGCCGAGTTCACCATCGGTGAACCTAGTCTAGCCTAGCTAAAGCAGTCAAATTAGGTTGAACTATTCGATTTTTGGCTAGCCAGTATAGCAAACTGGTAACAACCCAAATCAAATTAATAGACAGAAGACAAGTAGTTCAGCGAAGAGTCTGTTTTCGGCGAATTCATTTTCATAGCTGTACAATCGCAAATATGTATGTTTGTTTTGTATGCGTGTACGTTAAATTTGTCAAACGAAAATACAATTAGTAAGTTCAGATGAATTGGATTTTGATATAAGAGGGTAGTAACAAAAGTGATGAGTTGTCACAAACGATTGTTAAAGAAGAGTTGCGTAATAACATGAGTAGTTTGATGAAAGAGTTGTACTCAGGGTGTACATGGAAACAAAATATACGGAAATACACAAGGGTTTTAAGTAGAAAAGTAAGCATACAAACGAAAGTTAAGTCAGATCAACAGAGTTGTTACCATGACAGTAGAGGTGGTTGAATAATTTTCTTTTGTATGCAAAGTTCTGGTTCCTCCAGCTGAATGGCTTGGGCTTCTGCGATGCAAAGAAGACGGAATCGTACTGTCTTTGGGAGGTTGTCTTCACTTTGTAGATTACTTTGAAGGAGGCGTTTGTTGAGATGGAATTACCAGTGGTGACGAGGTGTTCGATTATTGCACTCCTTATGCAGCCATCACTTCCTTTCTGCAGCCACGCTGGATAGTTTTCTTTGACCCTTTTTGACAGGATGCACGTTGAACGACCAATGTACCTGGCTCCACAACAACAGGTGAACTGATATAAACACGTAGAAGTGGTCAGGTGCGGTATCTTGTCTTTTGGGCTTCTGCAGATCAAGCGGCGACCAGAGAACACTACTCTCAATGTTGTCGCAAAGAAAGTTCTTCTTAAAGAGGTGGAGATTCTCCTTCTAAGGACGTCACTGAGTAGGTCTCCCTTGAAGTCGAGGTTCATATAAAGTATCTTTTTTGGCACGGATGCTGTCTCTTGCTTTTGGATATTTTGTTTGATGTTTTTGTCTACGAATCTTGATGGGTAACCGTTTTGTACGAAGGTTTCTTTGAGGAAGTTTAGTTCTTCTTCCATGGTATCAGAGCTGCACATGAGCCGGACGCGAGTGACAAGAGATCTAATTAGGTTTCTTTCCCGACTGATTGGTACCCAGCTGTAGAAGCATGTCAGTTGGCCGTTCCATGTGGGTTTCCAATGGATGGACCTTCTTAAAGTTCCGTCAGCTCTCCTTGTAAGTTCAACACCAAGAAAAGGGATTTTAGATTCGTTTCCCATTTCAAGGGTGAGCTTTGTGGCTGGATGGCATTTGTTGAATATTTGCAGTAACTGATTGAGATTGTGACCGTCATCACAGATAATAAAGATGTCGTCCACATATCTAAAATACGTTTGGAAATTGTCAATAGTTGATTTGGGTGGGCCGTTCTCGAGGCTTGCTATGAAGCAGTCTGCTAGTGATGGGTCCAGTGGAGATCCCATTGCGATCCCATCTTCTTATCTGTAAATAACCTCGTTGAATGTGAATTGTACTCTGAGTGTACATCTCAGTAGTAGTTCCTTTAAACAAGTCGTCGGTAATCCGATGTTCAGCTGATTTTCTTCTATGTATTGACAAATGTGACAGACAGTTTCTGTGAGTGGAAAGTTGATAAAAAAAATTATCAGATTGATGACAGTTACGGAACCATTGCAGACAAAGGATTATTAGACAGCTGTTTCATTCACCATAGGGTTTCGAACATAAGACCTTCTGGTTACAAAGCAAGCTCATATACCATTCAGCCAGTCACTGGAACCCGATTCAATGGCCAGCCCATTAATTCTAACTTCACCAAAAACGTGATTTTGGCGCGGCCATCAACCAATGTCATCGGTGGGAAATGCATCCTCACTCCCCACTGGATGAGCCCCATTGGTCATGATTTGTCATAAGAACTCCAGGAAACCCCGTCGTGTAGCAAGTCGCTAGCAAGCAACAGATTAATTTTCGAAGGTTGATTTGAAAGGATTTGATTTGATTTTCGAGTTCGACCAGGAATTAATGTCAGTTAGAGAACCACTAAAAACCAGGAATTATTGGACAGCTGTTTCATCCTAGTTTTAGGCTCATTAGCAGTACGCACCCACTGGATTCCAGATTCATGTCATACAGATTTTGTTTCCTTATTTGGTAAAATGTGAACTGGTCTCATCCACTGAAGAACTTAAAGGTTTATCTGCTTCGATTCCTCAAACTAATCATGTTCAGAATATACTGTAGGAATTTTCAAATTGTTGAAACGTTGTGATAGCATAGAGTCAGTACTTGAAGCATAGAGGAAAGAATAATGAAGTGAAAATTTATGTAGGCTTAAGGGATTCTTCTTTTGAATATACTATGCTCATATTTAAATTAATATGCTTTCATTCAATACCATTAGTGCATAATTACCTTCACAAGCCGCATTCCATTAATTGGTTTCATTCTAATGTTTTTTTTCAGATAGCATTTTTTCATTCCTTATGTTCTCAGTGGAACATAAGTATCCCAGCTTTGAAGATGGAGTAGAGATGATACGGTTTTTACCAGGTTGGGTTTCTCTTCTGACGCCATACCTTCCTTACTCCCCGGGTATGCAGCAGGCGAGTAAACTAGGCGAGGTGTAGGAGTGCGTCTGCTGGGAATAGAATCCGAAGTTCTGGCGTGGTTGGTGAGTATCCTACAACTGAACTACCCGATAACAATAACTTGTATAATTATCAAGTGTCGGCTTACTTATCTTAATGCTATTCTATATGACAATATACGGTTCATAAAAAGGTTTCATTAGAAATAGGAAAACCTCCGCTAAACTATTCACTTGTCTAAATGCATTGTGCACACAAAACTGGGTTAATTTAGTATTTTTGCTTTTTACACACATTTTTTCTAACCACTTTCGGTAAGAAAGCGAGGTTTATATGCCTTGATTCTGGCCTAAGTAGTATTTAATTTGGATGAGCTAGTCAGTATATTGTTGTTACTACTTTAATTATTCTCTTCTTAAGGTACTGTTAAGTGAAACTAAGAAGATCTAGAATGAACAGGGCTTCAACTGGCAGTCAAATCTCTCCCCCAACTTCGTCAGATTAAAAAAGGCCTTTGACAACATTGACCGTGAGGTAATTTGTAATTTTCTTCAACACTACGGAGTACACCAGACCTTTATCAACCCTATGTTAAGCGACTCACAACAGAAAACTCAGCAAAGTAGCTGAAGTAAAGACAAGATTAAAAGAAGGCTCTCTACTGTCACCGATAGTATTCTTCATTGTGGTGGACTGGATTATGCCACAGACTGTGTTTGGGGACCCAGAAGACAGGCATACATTGGATCAACGATAATAGTCTAAAAGTTTTGGACTTCACGGGTGGTCTATTTACAATGTCACACAAACTTGGAGAACTACAGTCGGAAAACAACAAGCTGACAGAAGACGCTGGCAACGAAGATATGACTACAAGCGGACATTGAGAAGACATTGGTGATGAAGATACCCATTTGCTAGCAAGGGCCACTCGATAGTGAAGATTAAATAGCCCTTTCAGAAATCTTTCCTGGACTACTTAAGAAAGACTTTGCTTCGCTGCATAGGGCACTAAAAGCTGTTAGTAGGGCAAGTGGGATTTCGTTAAACCAACTGGTTAACACAATTGTGGATAGACATATAATGTCATGTAAGAAACTAGCAAATTCTATATTGTCAGACCCCGAACACCCTCTCCATACGCAGCTCTCTCCTTGCATTTCATCTGGTAGAACTAGAAGCAACTATAGGAAGCTATATGCCAGGACTACCAAGTATAAAAACTCCACAATACCTTATCTGGCACAGCTGTTATGTGATGAGAAAACTGTTAGGCATGACACGATCACCTTACTGCGGCACTCTAACAAATAGTTGCCATTAACTTTTGTTCTCCTTTCTTTGTTACTATTATATTGTTGCTCATATATTCCATTACAGACTAATTTTATATATCATATCCTGTGGTGCATTGTTTAAATATGTGAATGCAATGCTGTTCTTTTTTTATTTCTTTTATTTCTCTTTTTCTTTTTGTTGTTGTTGCTTTATATTTCTAAATCCTTACAAAATTTATGAGGTAATTAGATGCAATATTGTAATGAACGCTGAAAATTCCATACCTGTACCACAAATACTGTTTGGAATAAAGCCATTATTATTATTATTATAATTATTAAATGATAAGCAACGAGGAACCCTGGAAACAAGCCAACCAAGAACCTGTCACTCAGTAAATCTACGGAAGTAAGTGGAGATGGATCGGTCACACGTTGAAGAGACCGCTGACTGACATTACATGCTAATCTCTCAATTTGGACTCAAATAGGATGGAAGCGAAGGGTTAAATTTTGGTCCCAAAGTGAAATGGAGGAGATTGTGTTAGGTGTGAATGAAAGCTACCCAGCTAAAGGGGGCTACGAGGACTAGAATGAAATGAAGATGGGATGCGTACTTCCTATGTTCTACCAGAAACCTGCCAACTCCTGTAACCAATCAACCGAATCCCTACAAAATAATACTTGAATATCAATAAGCTGCTCACCAAGGATTGGCCCTATTCAGGTAGGTAGTTGCCTTGAGTTCTAGTGGGGAGT